TATTCTCGATAAGATCAGTCCCTATGGAAAGTTTTAAGTCGAAATTCAAAAATAAGTTCTCCTAGTTTTCTGACGGGATCTAGAACATCAACTAAAAAAAAAATTACCGTAAGTATGCAGTATCTCGACATTAATAATCTAAGGATTTGAACTCTTTTAAATGTATTCATAACTCATTACAGTACACATAATGTGCATAGCCATCACTCAAAAACAATTAATCAAGTCAGATGCTTCTTTCTCTTGCGAAAGCAACAGGATTTTGAAATATTTCAAACAAATAATTTTAAAACCTGATATCTAGTTTATAAGCTTAATTAGCAGTCATTTGATAGTCGGGAAAGTTTTAATGAAGAGGAATATATTTTTTTGTTTAAGATATTCGTTTTCTAAAAGAGTAATAGTTTAGCATAGAAGGATTTAGTGATCAAATCTTATTGGAGATTGAATATTTCACGAAGGATATGTTTGTTTTCATTGAAACTGTAAGATTATCTAATAATCATTAAATCTACTTATAGATAAAACATTGGTTCAAAACTTTTTTTTTTTAAGTTTTCGAAAATGTTTGAGTCTACGTAAAAATTTCATTAAAATTGTCATAACTGTTTATTCATAGGCGATGAATTTGAGTCTTTTAAAAATTTTCTCAGTCTCATCGGAATCTAGTCATAGGCATAATATGAAGTCAAATGTAGTTCAACACTATTATCTGTTTCTCCATAAATGAGAAATCTCAAAAATTTTTGTACTTTGGAAAATATTTCGTTTTTCTGAAGCAAATCTTGATTTTTTTTCTTGTTTAGGAATGCCAGCAATTATCCTTCTTTGTCGTGGATTATTCGGTAAAAATATTTGGACATTAAATTTTCGTCATAATCCTACATCAAATCCACCAATACAATCACATAAAGTATCTCGTCTCTATTTCTTTTCCAAAAAAAATAATACATATTCTGTTTTTTTTTTGTAAATCCAGTCACATGAACGAATAACAAATGAAAATGGTAAAATTTCTTCACCACGAATCAACAACGTCAATAATGATCAAAAAGACAAACTTCTTACAACACATGGAACAAAAATTGAACGAACAAAAAGGTAAATTTACAAGCAAGTTCTTTATATCTGTGAGAAAAAACATTTCAGTGATGCTGTTCGTCATAGCAGGTTGGTAATAACACTGAGCTAAAGCTAATATATTTATTGATATGATCTTATAAACGAAAAAAAGTTTTTTCTTTCAGCTTTCATCAGTCATCGTAAGTAGAATATAAACATAATATTCAACTCAGCTTTTTCTATTGTTTGGTGATGGTTATTTTTTTTCTTTTACAAAAAAAAAACTAATTATTAAACATTTGTGTTGATTTTATTGTGAAAACAAAAAAAACAATATGTTTCAAGAAAAAAAAAAAAAATCAAAAAATTTATTATTTTAGTGAATTAAGTATTCCAACATTAAGTTCAATTATTAAACGTGATGAAGAAAAATTAAATTTATTTCGTGCATTAAAAGTAAAACAAATTCCTATGGAAGAACAAGCTATTCAACGTGCTCATATTTCGGATGAAAAATTATTCTCAGAATGCAAACCACCTGAGTAAAGTTTTTTTTTTTCTCTAATAAAAATTGTTTTTTTTTTTTCTTTCTTAATTCGTTAGACGTCAAAAACATTTTGAAAGCATTCGTCTATTTCTATCACATTATGGATTTTGTTCATTAGATTCGATGGATTATCTTATGAATGGAAAAAATTGGGTAAATCAAATAAATAAATAGTATTCACTAAGTTTTAATGCGTATGCAAAAATATTACTTGTTTTATCAAAGAAAAAAGTTAATCATCGTTATAGCATATGGGCTATTTCAAACAAAACGGCATATGTTCACCGTTCATTTGACTCGGATTCTTTACAAAGGTTTTGTTTCGGTATAAGATCATTTAGACAGATGCAAAATTGTTGGATACTTCAGCTGACTATCGATTATAATCATATATTGTTAAGATTAGTCTTGTCGATTGATAAACTGTACAGAAAAATAATAGTTTTGCATGCGAATCAAAACTAAATCAATATTCTTTATTATTTAAAAAAAATATTAATTTATTAAATTTTTAGAATGATTCTAAAGCATTTAATCATTTTCAATCACAAATTCAATTACTTGATTCTAATGCAGAAAATTTTATGGATGATATAAAAAAACTCGATAAAATATCGCCAACACTTTATTGTACAGGACAAATTTATTATTTGAAAAAAAATCAAAATACACTTTTAGAATCATTTTCAAATTTGGTATTTTAAATAAATTGATTAGAATTATTATTTTAATAAAATCTATTTTTGTTTTTAGAATACATTAGAACAATTAAATCCAGCTTTTTTTAATATGGTTTCACAATTTGGTTCTATTGTTGAAGTTAAACGTCATTGTGGTTGGACAGGAAATGCAGAAACAAGTTGGAAAACAGTACCTATAGTTCTATCAAGTAATTAGTTTACAAAAAAAACAATGAAGTATTATAAAATAATCGTTACTTTTAATTAGATATGCATTCAAAGACGAAAACACTTGCTGAAATTAATGGTCATGATAGTATTTTATATTGGGCAGATTTAACAACAGAAATAGCGTTTTATTTACCTCATCATTTTTCTCGTAAATAGTTTTTTCTTTTTACTATTCTTATTTATGTATTTTATTTAAAATTACAGTGGATAATCAAAGTTCAGAAATGCGAATATTAATTGTTTGGCTTGAAGAATTTCGTGATGATCTTGATTCAGTTCTACCAGGTTTGTATACGATTATGTTCGAATATTAAAAACTACAATTTATAAAAACATTCGAAAGTTTCAATCGATCTTTTTACAACATAAAGACGTTAGATGGTTTTATACTCATAGTACTTTGTATATCAAGTATAACAACAAGGAAAAAATGCTACTGCTAATGGCAGTTTGAAGTAATATTTTGCCCAAAATTATCTCGACAAAAACCTTCGTTATAAGGTTATGATTGTTTCATTAAGTTTTCACTTTATAACAACACATTCATGAAAAAAAATCAAAACGCAGGAGTTTTTCTGTATAAATAGTTATTTTGATTCTTAAAACATTCTGAAAGTTTTAGCCAAAACAAATCGTTCCTTCTCAACTTATTGAATACGGAAGGAAAATTCACATTATAATTTTTTTTGTGGGATAGGATTGTATTTTTCTGAATATTCAATATTTCGAGAAGAAATTATCCGTTTTCTCTTAAACTTTCAAGAAATACTCACAATCTGGAGACCTATTTGTAGACGAAAATTTCTTCTTTTTGATTTTTCTATGAATACTTTGCCATAAGCCGAAAATCCAATAAAACCTTCATAACTCCATAAGCAAGTTCTATGAGAAGAAATCCTTTCAAGCTATTTCTAGTCTCACTCAGTCCTACTTAAGAGCAAAATATCACTTCAATCGACGGTTAACAGCTAGAAATTTTTCCTCATAAAACGATATATATATATTTATTAACCTATTCCTTTTAAGAGCACCTATAAAAAAAAACTCAAAAGATAATCTCACATTAGAGCCCGTCGGTTTAGTCCCCGATTCGAGAGTTTTGGATCTGATGGACTCTAATGCGGATATCGATCTGTGAATAGATAATTCAAACTCATACTCTCATATGCTGACACGTCAAACATTTCATCAGCATTAGTTTTTCTTTTTTTCGTGATGGTTAAATACAACCCTGCGAGTTACGTATAGAATAAACAATATGACAGATATTCAAAAGCGATTTGACAACAGTCAGAATTTTGTGTCTATTATTCTTATATCAATAACGTCTTCGACTTCTTCGTAGAATTGCTTTTGAATATATGTGATACAAATTTTTTTATGTAATTTGCCAAACTCTATTTAATTATGATGAAAAACGAAAAAATCCATACTACTAAAATTAAAAAATGTGATTATATGTTCTAAACTGTAAATAATTTCAAATTCGAATATCTTCGTGGGTGCATGTAATATATGCAGATTATATTTTAATATAATTAGTTTGACCATGAAAGTATTGATTGGATCTGAATACAATCAATCTTCTTAATTCATATAATACACCAGTTTCCATTATAAGTTTTTAATATCTATTGTTTATAATATGATTACTTTTATTTCAAGAACAATCATCAAAACTTCGAGATATTTCTATAATTGGTATACATCCTTTAAAAAATCATTTATTTCGTATTTCACTCAATTCAAATGCTCAAAGGTAAATGTAAAATTTATCTACAAAAAAATAGTAAACAAATATATTTTTCCTTTCATCTAGAATACAATCAGCATGTGCTAGTATTCCATTAATTGATGGAATGGTTCTACCTCTTCATATTTTGTCATTTTTTATTCGACAAGCTGTACATAGTTTAAGTCGTCGAAAACGTTTAGAAGATAGTCAAAGGTATGTTCTTTTTATTTTTTTTAATTATATAAATAAAACAAAAGTTTATTTGTTTTTCTTCTTTTAGTTCTCAAACTGCTTATTCATTACGAAAAACTCGAATAACAAAAATAATTGAAAAATATCAAAATCGAACAGATAATCTTGATGAATTCTTTCAAAAAATATTCTTTTTATCAACAGCAATAACAAAACAAACAACTAATACTGAATCAATAATACAATCGAATTCAATAAACACTGTGGAATTGTAAAAATGTCAGATGTTCTTCTTACAAAACAAAAACTCGGTGGTGTGTGTGTGTGCAGCTTCTTCTTTATTTTTTTCTTGTCTTCGTCTTTTTGGACAAATGACAGTGATATGTGCATGTAGACACGTTTTCATTTTCTTTTCGACATTATTTAAAAATATCTTTTACTGAGAAATTATTATTAAATACAAAAAACTACGATTCTGTGTGCCTGTGGTTTTTTTTTTCTTTTTTTTTCTCTCTTATCGATTATTGCATAATTAGTTTTGTTTTCAGACTAAATGCGTTTTACATTACACGAGTGGCGTAAACAGATAACTTATTTTAAACGAAATCATTTTAAAGATTTACAAAAAGTTCGTGGTATTGTTAATACGATTGCATTTTTTATTGTTTGGGGATACGCAGGTTATTTTATTGCCAAAAGAGCCGATAAATCAGCAAAAGAAACAGGTATTCCACATAGTGTACAAGTTGCGAAATTAACAGGAAATAGATATATTACCAAGTGGAATTTAAATACCGGCGAAACAGAAAAAATTGGTAAGAGATTCAATGATTTGATACAGTGCGTTGCTTTTAATGGAAACTTCTTGATTTGAAAAATGTGTATTAGAGTTGATAGTTATGATTATATCAAATATCATAGATTTGATTCAAAATATTTGTTGAACGCTATTTTTTTTTCTTCAGTAATTATTGCAGAGAAATAATATGTGTAATTATTCATAAAAATTAGCTGATAACAAGAACCGTTTATTCATTCTGGATGAGAAAATTCTGAGTAAATTCGAATGATGTTTGTTGAGACAACAGAGGCTTCTATAGTTTTCGAAATTGGAAAGAAACAAAATAGAGAATGTGGATGAAAGAACTCGGTGAAACAGTTGGTTATTGTTTGATTTTAAAAATGCAACGGTAACAATGCATCGATCTTACCTGGAGCACTGCATTGAGCTGGACACGTAAGGTGACGGAAAAAAATGTAGCAACAATGTATTTTTGACTTTTTTTCTGTACTATTAAGTACCTACCTCAAAACCAGATAGTGGTTTTAATAGCTACTGTAGTTTTCTATTCAACGCATTCTATACCAAGATTTCATAAATGAACTATAATGGCAAGGTTTTATAAGCTGGACACAATAGTTTTCTGGTATCGCAGCTATTTTCAACAATGTCTTTTTAAAGGAAACATCATGAGGCGTTCTCACATTTTATGTAAGCTTACCCTAAAAAGTTATTAGTATCACAAAACCAAAAAAAAGCATTTTTCACCATCGCTATAATAAAATACGTTTTGTGATGCTTATAGCTTTTGAAGGGAAGGTCGTAGAAAATGCAGAGACCCTTCATTTTGTTCTTTGCGAAATGGCATTGTTAACAAATAGCTTCGCCATTTAAACACTACATATTGGCTGTTAAAAGCACTACCTAGATAAGTTACTGTCAAAATTTCTTCTACCATCTTATGGATAGACTAACGCCGAAAACGATGAACGCATGATAAAACTATGATGATGTTGAATTGATATTGATTTTTTCGGTTGTGGAAAGCATTTCAAGAAAACAGCTGAAGTTTAGAAAAATAGAACTAACGGTTTTGATGATGCAAAAATCTGAATCTATAGGAGGTTTATCAAAATTCTCAAGTTCGATTTTCTCGATTCCAACTTTATACGAATAGTGTTCTCAATGAGATTAATTGATTGTACAAGAATATTTCCCGTTTGGAGATATGAAGTTACTTTTACACATGAGAGCATTTCGAATATAACATATTTCAGAATAGGAGATACTACAACTAGCCGAATGTATTAAATTCACTGAGACTTCTGTTTGTGCAACATTTGAAACTGCAAGTCAATTTTTCCCGGACCAGAGAAAGACTACAACTTTTCGTTGAAAAATCTAACAAAATTTCAATACTTTAAGAACGTAGATTTGAAAAACAAGACCATTCGGAACTTTTCTATTATTTATCATATGAACATAGTCTCGATCGAAAAGCGATTTGACATCTGACGAAGTTCCTTCGTTTGTTCTCACAGTTTAGTCATGTTGTATAAAATTCAGCTATTTCCTTGAAATAGAACTTCATAATTAAGTTATACGTTTACCATCTTCACCTTTACATTCATAAATTTAATATTGCTTTCCTCATTAGTAAGCTAGCACATGTTCTGACAGTTGTGTAATAAATAAGCTTAACAGAATATCTTTCTTTTAACTATATGGTGTAAAACAAAAAATCAATTTCTTTGTTTTTTTTCTTCCGCTTTAGACGTCTATCAAACATTGGCTGAAAAAGAGGCGGAAGCACGTACAAAAGTTCTTGAACAACGACGTTTACGTGAAGAAGCTCGACAAGCATCATTAACAACAGATACAAAATCATAAAAAGAAAAATACCCCTAATAAAAATGTCATCAAATATAAATTCTCAACTTATTCTTGATCTTGATACAACTCTTCGTAATGTTCTCCAACAACCTACAATAGATAATATTCATTTATGTTTTTCTCTTATTAAAAAATGTCATTATCGTCGTTTTGAAGATGAAAAAACTATTCAAGATGATAATTTATATATACCAGCTATATTACTTCTACGACAATTTAATCGTTTTCAAAATCCATCAACATTTGATAAACTTCTTGAAGAATTTATATTATTATTTAAATTAATACCAATATCAACAAAAAAAACTCTTGATGATTTACTTTGTATAATTAGTATTATATTAACAAAACGTATAATGATAACAAATGATGAAGTTCAACAAGATTTATTTATTCGATTTTTTCATGCATTTTGTTTATCAATAAAAACTAATTTAAATTTATTCTATAAAGAATTTTTAGGAAATTTTAATCAAAATTTACCTATTATTGGTCATTATCTTTCATGTTTACTTCAATTATATGAAAAAATTAATACACTTGATTGTAGAATTAATATTATTAATACATTATGGTCATTAATATATATTAATAAAAATGATCATGAGAATGAATATCGATTAATTATTGGACAAATTTTAGCTTGTTTTTTACCCGGTATATTAAAAACATTGACACAAGATATTGGTACAATTCATCAACGTCTTGTTTATGCAAATCTTATTTTATTAAGTTATATTATTCGACTAAGTGTTAATCTTTCATCAAAATATAAACCAGATATAAATTTAATGAAAGATGAACTTCGTGATATTGTTGTTGAAAGAAATGAACAATGGTTATCTATTGTTGATAATCATTTAGCTCCTATTTTACAACGATTAACCAATGATTATGTTAATCATGAAAGTTTAAATGTTCGTCAAGCACTTGCAAATTTTATGTTAACAATATTATGTTATTGTTCAGTATGGTTAAAAATATCTGCAAATATTGCATTGAAAACAATGCTTGTAATTGTTTCATCAAGAAAAGAAGATCAAAATGAAATTGAAATATTGAAAGTTTTATTGAAAAAATTATTTAAATGTGAGATGAAATTTTTAAAAAATTTTTCAACAATTTGATAATGATAATTTTACAAAAGATGTCTTCTCGAGGATAGAATTAGTTCTGTCAATATTAGAAGATTTCAACTCAAGGAATAAACGACATACTCTGGTAACCTCTAGAGTACATCATTATCATCTTGTTTTTAGATCTAGATTTTTCTTAGTGAAATAAAATGTGCTTCGCGTATTCGCACTGTATTCTCATACTAATATTGCTTCGAAGAGCACAGAAGATCGTCATTTTTCTCTGCTTTGAACTTAGTAAAGAAATTTTCATATACATAGTATACTACTATTATATCAAAACATTTAAGGAAAGACCATGATAAGTGAATTCACAAAAACATACACAAACGATGGGAGAGAGTGTGTGATGTCATATGGCCATCCATCTTCAAAAAATAATTTTTGTTTTTTGAGTTTTCTGAACACTACTTGTTTTTCGAAGGATAATTTCATAGAAGTCTTGTATCTATACAATGTAAAGGAAGAGAGATATGCATGGGTGTAGATATAGTTAGGTCATGAAAAAAATTCTTAGCTATGTATATTAGGGAGCTACAGGCAATGGGAAAATAACCGAAACTCGACTGCGAACCGTTTTTGATCAAGTCTCAGACCCTGTTAGGTCGAGTTCAGACGTACATTCGGATTTAATTCCAGATCCGTGCCTAAATAGAGAAGACATGGCGTCTACTTATCTAGGTACAGCAGTTCGGCGATGGTTCCACTTTCCATTGACTATTTTCTAAGAGAAGGTAATAAATAGTTCAAATTTTGATCCTTTCTTTGGCCATGCACACAGAAGATACTCAATATTGATGCAGAAGCTCGGGTATAGGTTGTTAGGGCAAGAAAATTTTTCTTGAACATTGTTCAGAGGTTGAAAAAAGATTACACTGCGCATCTTCACTTCCAAAAATAAGTGTTCGTCCTTCTCAAACTTTAAATCGACTCTTCGGAAAAAAAAGTTCAGAATAAAACATTTCAAATTATTCAGAGACAATAGTCGAATAGAATGTTAATCATCAATAAATTTACTCGGAGACCTTTATTCGATCTTTTATGACAAACTGTAAATTATAAGATTAAAATCTTCTTAAAAAATGCATTCTGCTGAAAAAGGAAGACATTCTTGGTCATAAATCGATCTCAGCCAAAATAAGAGTCAGTATTATATACAAAGTTATGAATACTTATTCTATCTCAATACAATCGCAATACAAATAGAACAATCGATGTGTTTTTTTAAATTTTAGTACCGATCGAATCATTACCCATCATATCATCTCAACCATTGTCATCAGAATCATCTATTCTTACATATGAAACAGAATTTATAAATGAAATTCTTAATTCATCAGATATACATCTTTCCGATCATCTATTAATCGAATGTCAAGCTGATTTATTTCAATTACTTGAACAACAGCAACAACAAGTATCTTCATCATCAATATTAACTGATCGTCGTTGGCGTTTACAATTATTCATTGGTTATTATACATTTATTCATAGTCATATTGATTTTCTTTTTGATATGGATGCATTTACTAATAAATTATTTCGTTTTATGTTAAATACACTTGATTTTAATACATTAATACGAAGTAATATTAATATACTCAATGAAAGTTCATTATCAAACACTATTAATCATACGAAAAATTTTGATCCTAATGAATATTATTCAGTTTATAAATATTTAAAATCAGATGTACATAATGAAATTGAACAAATAATGAAATTATTTACATCATCACATGAAACATTTATTATTTATTTATTTGAACAAATTAATCAAAAGAAAATTATTGATGAAAATAATCAAAAAGTATTTTATCTTCTTTCAATTATATTTGACAAGAATTATTTTAATAATTTCGAAGACTATCAATTACTGTTATCATTACTTAGTCAAGTAATTTGTGATGATGATTATCGAAAACAAACAAAAAAAAGAAAAAAAAATCATTCGAAAAAAGGTATTGAATTAACACTCAAATCATTTCAATGATAGGAAAAACAAATAAACATAATTTCATTCCCATGAAATAACGAAGCTCCTAAACTCGGATTTATTTACCATAGTAGACTTCATAGGTTTTAAAGTTTATTTATTTTTATTTTTGTTCAAATAAAATCATATCTATAGTTTATGATCTACTATTTGAAGAAAACTTAAAATTTAATAAAAGTTATTTATAACTGAAAGACTTTCAAATGTGGATACAGTGTGAAAAATAGTAGTACTAAAACTCTTTTCTAATGATTTATTGGCGAGAACATGAATAGGAAATATTGTTAAAATGAAACTCATTATTATTGATTGGAACAGTTCAACTATCAGAACTAAATTATTCAAATATCTATGTACATTTTTAATGTCTGAAAAACTAACATATTCTGAAATGGTGTCAAGTCTCTAGAAAATAGTCGTCTACATCGTTTCATATTCATTCTAGAACAGTTATCTGAGTTAATTCAAGATGAAGTATTGTAAAGCATGACAATCAAAGAAATATAAATACAATTGTACTAAAAGAATTTCTTAAGATTCATCCTGACTAAGTCAATGCTAACTTGATTATAATAGGCTCATCGTCAAGATCTTCGATGAAATGTGTAGTATGCGTTATTTCATATCTCTTGGAATGGTTTAAAGATTTCGATAGTAAAATTTTTTGGCTAAGTCATATCATCACATTCTTTAAGGATCTTTCGGATATGGCTATGAGTTAGAGTTTGACGGTTCCAAAAATTATCCCGAATCGGGATCGTGGTTCTAGTTATCGAAAATAAGAAAAAAGCGGTATCGATTCTGTTCCAAAAATATCATGTGGAAATAAAAAACATCACTTATATCAGTACTTAAACAAAACATTATTATACATATAGACCAAAATCTTTATTCTTAAGATTGAAAAAATGAAGATTTCTAGACTCTGTGAATGAAATAAAGACCTAGCTCTCATGCACATCCACCAAAATCACACAACTAGACCTACACTCCTACTCTTTTTGTTATCAAATTTGAACTTTTCGTATTCATCAAAATAATTTCAATGTTATTTATTGTTTGTTTTTGCTCTTGAATTTTAGAAGAACCCATATCAAATCGAAATCTAACGATCTATTTTCTTCTTCAATGTATTCGTACCTTAACTCATAATGATCATGTTGAATATCTTATTGATTATATTCCATTACTTCTACTTTGTCATTCATCGAAATATACAATTATTCATCAAACATCATTATTATGTTTAACATCAATATCAAATGATTTATCTTCATTTCTTGTATCACAATCTGAATATATAATCGATAATTCACTTAAAAAATTACAAACATCATCATATGATGGTTATTTAATTTTAATTGAATTTATTCGATTAGGTAATACTAAAGTTATTAATTTACCTATAATGACACATGTTATTGAACAATTATTACTTGAATTATCATGTCTACCACCATTGGAATGTATTGAATTAACATTTCAATTTTTAAATGTTTTTTGTCAACAAGTTCTTGATATAGTTGATAAAAAAAAACTTAAATCAAAATTATTATCTCAACAAACAAAATCTTTAATTGATTTTACTCTTAATTTACAACAACAATATGCACCAGTAAATTCTTCAAATGAAGAAATCAACAATAACAATAATAATAATAATAATGAGGTGGAGGAGGAAGAAGAAAAAAAACCAGATGAACATCCATGGCATAAAATGCTTGTATCAATAGTTGATGTTTTTCAACATTTTATATCACATTCAAATAATCATATACGTTCATGTGTTCTTGATGCATTTCCATCATTAGCACATTTACTTTCAACAATTGATGAAAATTTATTTTTACCATTAGTACATAAATTATGGCCAGGTCTTATTCATCGTCTTTATGATATAGATTTTAATATACGTATACGTTGTTTAACAACAATACAATGTTTATGTCATATATGTTCAGATTTTGTTGATCGTCGTATAAGACAAGATATATTACCAATACTTATACAACATCTTGAAAATAATCGTTTAATATCATCATCAAATAAACTTGAATATCGTTATATGAAATGTTTATTAACAAATATAGGATCAATATTAAATGCAATTACAATAAATATAAATGATATTGAAAAAATTATTTTAATACTTTTTCAATATTTACAAGTTGAAGAATTAGCTTTAAATGCATATGAACAATTAATATTATTAACAGAAAAATATTCAGATATAATTTGGTTAAAATTAATTTTACATGATGAAAATGAATATCGAAAAGGATATTTTGATAAAATGAAAGTTTATAAACCTGAACCTATGTTAACAATTGATCCAAAATGGAAATCAAACTTATTAGTTTGTTTAAACAAATGTTAGAGAGTTGTTATTCTTTCCTTTTCTTTTTTTTTTTTTTTTTGAAATAAAATTATGCACTCCGAGTGATATAAAACAACAAAAGCACGAACTATCAAGTATTTGACGAACTAAATTTTTTTTGTTTCTCGTTATTATTGATGTAATCGAACAGCTGAAGAAACGAAGGGAATAGAAGTGTTCGTTTTCATTTTATCGTTATGATGATAGAGGCATAAAAAATGATGAAAAAAAAAAGAAGCAACAACGAACGAATCGTGTTATCGCAGGTATCATACGATTTCAATTAGCTCTTCTCGCTAGACTTGATGATCTATGTGTATGCGTCCAACATATAAAGTTCAAACGGCATCAAATTGGAAATGGCATCATCCATGAAAAGCTTCTCTTTTTCTCTTTCTCACTCATTCGCTTGCCATTGATAGATTTGATTAATCATCAACAACAAGATGTATGTGTATGTGCATGTTGTTATTGTTCGCTTAGTTTCAAAATGTCAGTATGTGTTGTGAGGAGGAGTAAATTAGAAGAACACGAAAGGTTCTTTCGAAAAAAAAGACAGAAGAGCGAACGAATACGAATGCATCTTTTTTTTTGTGTGTTCTTCTTTTTCTTCATCACCTATTTTATGTTCGTTGATTGCACTATTGTTTTATTATTTGCTTTTTGATATATATATATATATAAACCTATCATCCGTTCCGCAATTGAACACAAGCTCATCAAATGATAACGTGAAATAGACACATCGTTTTACAAAAAAAAAGAGACGGCATCAAGCGAATAAAACATTTGAGAGAATGTTTCATTAACATCATTTTTTTTTTCATTGATTATACATTGATTCTTTACTCTTGATATGCATATATATATAGTCAACACCTACTTACCAATTGAATAGATATTGTGTTCAAACAATATAAGTATAGTATGTATTTTTGTTTTATTATTATTATTATTATTATTATTGAATGAAAGGTTTTTTAAAGTAGAGGAGAGAGCTCTTCTTGATAATTAGACCATATGTAATAGAGAAATTGTCATGGGGATTGCTCTCTTCTTTCTTCCTTTTATATCATCGATGAATTTAAAGATTTATTATTTTAGAATTTTCTATTATTAGCTGTACAATAAAGGAAGAACAATTCAATGATCAGCAGATAATATACAGAACGCTGTCATGGAATTGCTCTCCTAGCTTGGCAGTGAATTCAATTCTTTATTTTTTGATAAATCATAAAATTACGATAGAGTTTTTTTTTTGTTTTTATTAGATTGAAATTAAATCTAGGTAATAACATGGTAATCTGTTCAATATCGTGTACTCTTCTATAAATGATCAATAATATGACTTGAATCTTGGACTATATGTTTATTTCAATATCGTACATAAGTGAATTCTTCACACTCAGAATGATGTACTTTCATATTTCATAAAATTCGATCGTCATCAGTAACGAATATCCATTGAAAAAAACATAAATAAAATATATGTATTGGTTTTTTTGGTAATAGTTCTTTGATAACTTAAGATATAAATCCAATTATTGATGATGATAAAAAAACAAAAGAAACTACGATCATAAAAAATATATAAATCATTAATGATAATTGATTTCGTGTAGATGAATTACAATAATTTGTATTACAACAATCAACAAAAGCACCTTGACCAAAAAAATTTGAAGAACTTGGTGTACAACTTGATACACATCCTTTAGAGATTTGAGCAGCTCGATTGAGTACACGAACTGTATTTTTCTACGAAAAAAAAAATTTTTTTTTTTTTCTTATTTAAATTGATCAATAATAATTTTACCACACAAATAGTTTGTGATGATGTACAAGTAACAGCTGAGACTAATGATGATGTATTATCATGAGGCTCGGGACATGGATCACATCTCCAACAAATTAACTGAGTCGAAACTAAATTTAATCATGATTTATCTTTTGTATGTTTGTAAAAAAAAAATTTTTTTTTCTACCTAAATTGAAATGGAAGATAAATAAGAGTAGAACAATGATTAAAACTGTTGAAAAGATTGCAGCAGCCATTCGTTATATCGACAATGAAACGTATGGTGTCTATATAAAAATCATGAAAATCTTTGTGTTGCAAAAGAAAAAAAGAAAATGGTCAATTATTTATTTAATGAAAGATTTAACAAAAATATTTTTGTTGATTTTATTTTTTTTTTCTTTTTTACACCGTACTTTTGCGTTTCGTTAAACAAAAGGAGAAGAAGAAAAAAAACGATGTTAGTGAATTGCAGATTTTAAATAAGTGTCTCGACCGATTCTGTCAGTTGAATTGTTGTTATCTTTGTGAAGTAAAAACAAGATTTAAACATTATATAAATGAAAAGAAAAGAAAAAGCACTTTTTTTATTGAGAATTAAGTAGTGTACAAAGTAAATTTGTTGATTTTGGATAAAATATGACATGACAACGATGGATTGGATTTAATTAAAGTCAAACATTTCGGTTTTTTACTTCGAAAACACTATGTCTTAAATAAAGAGTTCAGAGAAAAATCCTTTTTTATGGCAAAGAAGGCAGATTTATTTTGGAGATTTTTATATAAGAACAATATTAAATCATCATAAAAGCTTTCGTTGTATTTTAGAAAAAAAAACGATGATTTCTATCAATAGATATAAACAAGAATTCTTGTTTCATAGTATTTATATTTTATTGTCTATTTCGCTTGTTGACATCAAGGTACCAATTTAAAATTTATTGAATATGAAGTTTTAGTTTAGTATACGAAAACAATGTTATGAATTTCGTTAAGATTATAGAATGGAAGAAAATTCATATTTCATTTGATCATCTTTATCATTATGGTTGGATTGAAATGTTAGTAGAAGAAAGTCATTGAATAAATGGAAGGTAAATAGTTACTCGTGGATGTAGGCGTAGGTATATTACAGAGCAGTCAACCTATGGTTTTGTGATTCCGAATGCAATAGGACTCGAGTTTGGAAGGTCCCGCAGCTTTGTAACCTGATATGGATGCGGATACTCGTCTATATTAAGCGTTTCAAATACATGGAATTTTTCTGTAATAGTACTTTTAATTGAGCTCGAACAGCTTTCAATCTTTTATTGTTCTAAATTTTCGATCAAATTGATGAATCTCTGAATGTTATTTATGATCAGAAATAAAATTGTAAATAATTTACATAATTTACTGTTATTGAATTTACTTTCTGTTGATTCTTTAGAAGACGAGAAGATCCTAATGGGTATGCGGATCTAAGTCTGAATCTGTGCTGCATTCGTACTCTTCTGATCATGGACTTTTGACCAATACAATTCTAATTTATTTTTTAATTTTAAATTGGTATCTTTCTAATAAAACAAAACCATACAATGACGAGACATGTTATTGTTAGTCATATTGATAGAAAAAGTAATCTTTTTTTTTTCTCTCTCATGTCAATCTTATGACATTGAAATCAATTGAGTAAACATATTTCAAGTAAAATGACCATGAGTGTATGTAGAATGAGCATATTTTTTATATATATGATTTTATTAAAGAAATAAAATCAAACTAAGAACATATGTGAAGACAGTTTTAATTCTTCTTATCAAACAAGAAGTTTTTGATTATTTCTGATAGCAAAATTTCTCGCAATATATTCTCAATCAGAAACAATTGTGATTCATAAGGAATAGGGCACTTTTATTTCTATTTTTTTTTGAGTAGCACAGACAAAATTTATAGACTTTGTTTTTTGTACTACTCAATAGAGAATTTTTTGTTTTACAAAACTGTTGATTATGCTCTTCCTCAACTAAGAACGCCTAAAAGGGTAAAATCTATTCAATCGGTCAACTGTGATCTCCGTTTTTCTGAAGACATCTATGAACTTGTGTTAGTCTATACTTATCAAATTTGATGCTACAACTTAAGAATTGAACATCAATAGATAGAGAATTTCATAACCTATGTTTTCAAAACTCCTAGTCGTGTTGTTGAAAAGCAAAAGGCTTGGAACTAATGGTTGGTGATATTTTTGGTTGTATTTTTGAAATTCGAATTTGCAAAAGTCAAGCTTGTTTTATGAAAATTTGTAGATTTATGCATTCAGATGTAGACTTTGATTTTTAAGATACTTGTATGATTTTTAAACTCAATAACGAAAATATTTAGGTTATTCCAAATCAACATCAAACAGTCATACAGACTTATTAGGAAAGATTCTTTTTGCAGTATTTTCGAAACTTTTCACTATATCTTAAAAGTTTCTGAAATATACATCAGAAAATGAAAACTGTCGTACAGAATCTTATAGCATATTTGAAATATCGCCAGACTTGTAATTTAAAGATTTCTATTCTTGTTTATATCTTTTTACTATCACAGTTGGATAAACGACTAGCTTTCAATCTTCTGAGTTTATTGTCAATAAGTTCATTATCTTCTCTCTTAATTATGTCTGTACTGAGAAAAAAAAGTGTTTCACTCCTTATGGATCACCACTTACGTATTTACTTCGCTTACTCTCAATGATATATTCAACAAGACCTTGAAAGAACATATTTGTTATTGTTTTTGCAAGATCAACTTTAAACTACAATGCTGCTCTACTGTATTATACATTTTCTAAAGTGATATTCCATCAGATTTTTATCACCGGTACTCTTTTATTTAATAATTAAATTAGAATTCGCTTCGAACAAGTTTTTTTATACTAACAATTCCTTCAATGAATTTGAACAATTAGAAATATTTATATGAAAGTAGATATTATCTAGTCATTTATAAACGAGCAAAAGCGTCGATTGAAACAAGAAACTAAATTAGTATTCCTGTAGAAGAATACAGAAGCGTTATGTTGAGAACAAATAAAATATCCTTGTTGACCTTCGTTATGCACGAGGATATATAGTAGAATGATCTGTTTTTCTTTTCTCTTTGTCTTCAGTAACGTAGTCCAATTTTTTCTATTTACAACTGATTATATTGTGAAGTAAACAGAAAATACGCAAAACAAATGAGTCATAGTCATCTAAACGCTAGAAAGAAAGACAGCAAGCAAAATCATTCTCTTAATTTTCTTCGACTTATAACTACAAAGTATAAAAAAAAGATGGCATCTCAACAAGCTGAAAAAGGTGGAAGAAGTACAGATCCTACTCAGATCAGTTCTGTTGGAGCCGAGCGTTCAACAGGCACATCAGGTCAATTAGGATCAGCTTCAACGGCTGAACCAGAAGGTAGTTCAGCATTGGGTGATTCTAATTATGCCGGTATGAGCACTGCAAGTGCAGCATCAAATCAACGACAAAAGTCTAACGAGAGTCCAACGATCAATCAAGGTGCAGGTGGAGCAGGAGAAGGACAAGGAGGAGCTAGTCAACCATGGAGTACATCGTCTGCTGCGCCATAATAAGTATATGTTTCTTTTTTAATAAAAGGATTTCTTTCATGTATGTTATGATAGTAATATGTTTAACCTTGCTTCTGTTGTTTTTTTTATTGTGATTTGAAATAAATCTCTTGAGTCTATGAATTTTTTTGAATGATTTTTTTTTTCAATTGCTCATTCAAAAAACATAAAACCGATATATTTATTGAGACGAAAATAATTAATTCATTTTGAAAATGTCTCATTTCATAACTATCAATGATCGTTAGTTATAAAGAAAATCAATTTCTCGAGTGTAAAAACATGGATCAATGCAACATGATTAACTAAATTCATATGAATTACTTTTAGACTAATGAATTAACTAAAGTCTATTATTTTAACCAATGTTTATGCATACATCTATTGAATGAATATTAATATTGGAGTAAATCGATTTTTATACGTAGCGGCAAAATTTAATATATGAATAAATTAGACACATATATCATTTAATATACAAGAGAAATAATCTACTTTGTAATTTGAGAACGTTTTATGTTCGTAGAACCAGTGCCATTTCATCAAATGATGACTCTAGAAAATATTTTCAATGTTTGAAGAATAAGTAAAATAAACAAACGTTTTTTCTTTGCATAATCAATTGAGATCTTTTTTCTTTGAATAGGAGTACTAATTACTTTCTTCGAAAGTGGATTATAATTATATTATTTAATGATTGAACAGTATTGAACTTTTGTAATCTATGTTTCAATGGTTCATTCATCAAACTACTAGGATATTTATTTAATAACAAAGCCATTTATGAGAGTGTGTATGGATATGAGTAGTGATGCAACAAATTCAAGAACTTGGGGTTTGGTATACACAATTTTCGATTTGGTTTAGATTTGGATCAAGATTTGGAGTGTCGGTATCAATTTGAATGTTGCTCTGCTTTGAACCTACACACACCCTGAGCTAGAGATCTACATAGTGACGATTTCTGTAATTTTTCTAGGTCTATCTAACAGTGATTCGTACAATATTTCTAGAGGTTTCTAGTAGTGATCTCTACAACCTTCTACAATCTTTTCATGACGAGTCTCGCTCATGAGTGAAGCATTTTTACCAATTCTTCTCAATTAAGTGACGTAATGTGGTGTTATTATATAACACCTAATATTTAGCTTATGTTTTTTCTACTTAACATTCAAATAACTCCAAAATTAAGTTTAATTGATCGCATTTATCAAGTGTCACTAAATTTTGAGTTTTTCATTACTGGTTCAGAGACGAGCCATGCTTTAGCTCAGACCATATGAAAAAGGGCCCATGCAACCACTTAGATTGGCTTAAAGATCATTATGTTTCGTCCTTGCAGTAAAGTAAAAAAAAGCCTTCTGAAAACTGGTCAGTTGGTAGGGTGTTTATATCAACGAATCAAATTTAACTATATATTCTCTGCACTATTTGAAGGACTAAATGGGATGATATTCGAGTCATACAAAGACGATTCCATAAACCTCCAAATTGCCTGAACAAATCGATTTCATCGCATTTGATTCATCTATACAAAAAAGCTATCAAGTAATTGGATTTCAGAATGCTTCTTTTGCTATATTGTAAGTCAGAAACATAGCAGTGTTCGACTAATCTACTGGATAGCAAGGACACTTTTTGCTATAAGTCTAGTTTATTTAAACAACCCTCACCCTCAAAAGTCGCAAAAACAAAGGTGTTTACATAAACTAGACTTATACCATTTGCTGGACACGATTACTTAATTTTAATTGTAAGTGAAACGCTTGTTCAGTAGTAAATTTTTAACTCACATTCAACTATAAAAACTAAGCTTCAAAGAGTAAATTGTAAACTTAATATTAAATGTGAAGTAGTAAAACTAAATTAATTCGTTTAATTAAGTCGAATCACTAAAAAAAGTTATACAGATCATCCCTAGGTAAAGCTCCAGCTCATGGAGGCTGAGCTGGAGCTGTCACACATGAACACCCTGTCTCCATAATAACCATCATATTTAATGTATATAGTCCTCCATTGTTTTGACATTTCATGTGAAAAAATGAAGATAATTTTATTTGTCGTTAACTTAAGAAAAAGAACGCAGTTCTAAAAATATCGAATCGATACATCCACACTGAATTTACTTCTGCATTTTAAATGAACACTTGAATCCATTTCACTTGTTACTACTAGGTTCACTTGGATTTGTATACATGATTTAGTTATAGCATTAATCTGTGGCATACATAGTAATTTTCATCTGAAAACACAAATCGATTTCTTGAACTATCAGAACTGTTCATAGCGAGATGTGTCCAACATAATTCTTGGTTTTTTTTCTCGAAATTGAAATCTTCTCCGTTTAGAATATCATCAAATGGTTCCTGAAAAAGTCAGTAAATATTGTTTTAGAGAGAAATCATTTTTTTAGAACATACATGTATTATTTTTCTTGTAAAATTACAAATAAATTCTAATCAATTATTTCATTTCCAAAATTATTTGTTTGATTACAATAAACTTTTAATAATGAATATATCGAAAAAATTTTTATTTTGTACCTAAAAAAATAAAAATAACAGATATTTGCTTGCCTTGTCATATGACGTGAAAAATTGAATCAAAACTAGAATCAAAAATAATCTGATATTATTTTCAAGGCTATCAGTCCCTATTTTAAAATTTATTTTATTGACAATTATCTTTCTTTTGCCATAGCTTTTGTCCTTTTATTTTCGTATATTATTTACCAAAAGATCATAGGATCAAAGCTAATATTATTCTCAATGTCTTTTTTTTTCTCTGATAATATCATCATTGCTTCATTTTATACAGAGATAATTCCTATTCAAATAAGTTTATATCATTTTCCTATAAAAAAGCAGCCAGATATCAACAGACGCATTCATATTGTCGATTGTATTTCTGACAACAAAACAAAAGATGCTTAAACTTGTTGCTGCTCTACTCGTATTAGTTGTTGCTTGCAATGCCTTCTTTCCTAATGTTGGTGGTTATATAGATCGTCCAGATTTAGTCAACAGCGATTTGGTTAAAGGTTTAACAGTTTATGCTGCTGAAGTTTTAGCTACAACACAAAATCTTTTTCTTGCTAATCTTCGAACTATCAAGGTTCAAATTCAAGTCGTTAATGGATTGAATTATAAAATAGATTTTTCTGCTGAACCTGTTGATGGTGCTCCTGGCCAAAAAACAACATGTCAAGTTGTTATCAATGTTCGCCCTGATTCAATTAAGAGCCTCATACAATCCCAATGTCAAACATCATAAAAGAACATTCTCTTTCTTTTTCTTATAAAATAAAATTATTCAAAATCTACAAGTAAAAGAGAATATCAATGTACCCGGTTGTATATTGGTTTTCTTTTTTTGATTCAGTATTTCGATTCTATTTTGGCATAAAATCATATCAATTCTTGTATTGTGAATACGATTATATCAAGAATGAAAAAAAAAATATCAAATTAAACATAAACTGGATTTCATTCAATAATGATGAATCTTTTCAATAAAAAATTTTTCATGACAAAAACACTTATTATTAATAAAGAAAAGACAGATAGAACACAAAAAAAAACATTGATATGTAGTTCTTTTTAGTTAAGAGATTGAAGAATACTAACGGATTATTGAAAAAGTAATTTGACAATGTATTCATTCTTTTTTCAGAAAGTTCAGCAAGCCTACAAAAATTGGAAAACATTGAGTTAGAATTCGAATTTACGTTTGAAATATTTCTACGACTTCTGATCTTGTAGTTTTAGACATATGACAATTAACGTTTTCTTGCAGCAAATTTTAAAACTAGAAGTTTTGGACAAATCATCTTTGAAAAATCAATTTTCCAAAACATTCATAAAAGCGTCTTTAAGCCAACATACTAGTGTTATCAATCAATGGGATGAATATGTTGATCGTGCATTATTTGCATGTCGAATAAGACAACATCATGCCACAGGTAAAACACCCTTTTATATGGTGTATGGCGTAGAAGCAAAATTACCAGGTGATGAATTAATTCCTATCATTCATGATGATGAACAAAATAATGTTACTGATCGTGTACAACAAATTAATCAACTACTACAACAACGTGATACTGTACATGAACGTTTAAATTCAAATGCTAATAAAATGAAACAGTATTACGATCGCCACTTAAAAAACCAAGTTGATGAACTACACGAGAATGATTGGGTATTAATACATAATGAAAACCGAAAGAAGTTTCATCCTCATTGGATTGGACCGTACAAAATTAGAAAAATTTGTCCATTAGGAACGTATCAACTCGAAAATGTTCAAGGGCAAATTAAATTAGATTTAGTACATCGTGATATGTTAAAACGAGCATACGTTAATTCAAGAACAATGCAACAATGGTACAAGCCGTCTCATCGAAATAATAAACACCATCTTAGTTAAAGGATGGGAGAGTGTTAGAAAAAGATAGGCGCCTTTTTGGTTTAAAAAAAAAAAAAGGTTGTTATTATTAATTCATTCTCGTTCTGAATAAAACTTGTATGTGTTTCTTTTTTTTATCTAAAACCAATAAACACTCTTAACTGAAGTTAACACTAGTATATTATATATAATTCGTTCGAAAATTCTCAAAGTTTGATTCTACCACAAAAATAGGATTCTTCTGTTGAAAAATTATTGTAAAATGTTGATATTTCAAGCCACTAGTACCTTGCACTCATATTGTCTTAGCCTTTCTATAGTATTGAGTTCATAGTGCATATCGATTTGATAATTCGTTACACAAAATTATTGATTTTTGAACATATTTTATTTTCTCACTTAAATAGTGAATGTGTAATGTATTATCTATGATGAATGCATTTGTAGAAATTTTCTAGTCGTGTTGGATATTTTCTTTTAACGTAAAATTTTTTTTGTATTGATCATGTACGTCATCTATAGAATAATGTTTTTAAACCAACCAGATTGTTTTCCTGATTGTACAGCCACATCCAGAAAACATGTGGATTATTTTTCTCCTTATTCATTATAGAACTACACTTACGTAAAACTCTTATTTTTCTACAAAGATTCAATCAATGATTTGAATATTGAAGATTTCTTAATTTCACTATTACTTGTTTTTTTTTCACCAAGAAAATGATGCTCTGTTTGCTGTTTTCAATCTTATTGATAAACAACTATTTATGATTTAAGATGTTAGATAAATTTCTTCTTATTCGACCAGCACCATTGACATGTTTTGTCTCTATTTGTAAACGTTATGTACGTACAGCACCACCAGTAAATCCTCCTACTCCTGTTCAAACGCCAACAGCAACTATCAAAGAAGAAAAAACTGCTATTGATTCAACAGGAAATGTATTCACATTTAAACATGGGTATGCTTATCCTATTGCATTTATTAAAAATAAAAGTTTCTAATTTTTATCTTAAGACCACCTCCTGATATAATACCAGTTGATGATTTAGGTCCTTATGAAATACGTTTACAAAATATTGGTTGTAAAAATCGTCGATTTGATCGTATTGTAGTTCAACGAATGAAACATTCACCAAATGCTAATGAAATTATTGAAAATCTTGGTTCATATGATTCAATGCCTAATGATAAAAATGAAATTTTAGTTGCACTTAATTTAAAACGACTTCGATATTGGATTGGTACTGAAGGTGTTGTTATTAATCCATGGGTACAAAAATTACTTGGTAAATAAAATAGTTTCATAATTGTTTTTTTTTCAATTCAACTATAATACTTTGTTGGTTTTCTTTTTTTATTTATTTAGGTCGTTGCGGTTTTTTTCCTGTTGATCCATCTGATTATGTAAATGCTTATCGAGCCAGAAAAATAGCTGAAAATCGTTTAAGATATCCAGAAAAAAAAGATGAAGAAGAAAAACAAGAAGATACATCATGATGTTTTGTTTTGTTTTGTTTTTTATGAAACATTTTTTGTTAAAATTCAGTTTAGAAAATTTTCTTTGTTAGATATTTTAGATAAAAAATGCCACTTGTTAATTATGAAGGTGATTCAAGTGAAGAAGAAGATAATAATATTCAAGTTACAACAGATTCAAAATCATCAACGACTCGTCGACTTCATCTACCAGCTCCTTCACATTCTTCATCAAATATAGTCGTTGATGATGATGATGATGATGAATATCCAACAGAAACAAATATTCAATCATCTTCTACTCTATTAGCTAATCTTCCTAAACCTCATGATAGTTCTTCATTAAATACAAATCTAGATTCAACTGAATTTATTGAAAATGAATTAGAAGATATTGTTCGCGGCGATAATAAAGAATATGCAAAAAATATTCCTCAATTACCAAAATCAATCAAACGAAAACGTGATGGACCAGTTAAAATTTTTATTCCATCTATTGAACAAGTAAAAATCGTCATTTAATTATTCTTTTTTTTTATCTGAATATATTTTTCATTTTAGGATTCAGATGAAGAAGATAAACCAAAAAGAAAACCCGCAGCTACTAAACGAGTAAGTTATTTTTTTCAGGCGTATTCCTAGGATGATATCTCATGTTTGAAATGAGACTCAATCGTTGTCTAGGAAAGTTTCCTTGAAAAGATACGAACAAAAATTTACCTTAGATATTTTTCATCGATAAATGCTTTATTTTCTGACAATTGATTTCAAATGTTTACTGCGGTTTTTTTTTGAGAATCAATGAACTACTGGACAATCTTTGATTTCTTTTTATTAAAGTTTTTAAAATAATCAGTTTTTTTTTTAAATAGAATTGTGCATTATTGAATGCACTTCCTCCTCCCATGCATGATGAAGATAAACCAACACCAAGTTTACCTGTAGTTAAAAATTCATCAACGGCAGCTCCTCAAATAAGTTCAACAGGTTTATTTATTCCATATACAATTAATAAAAAACAACAACATCAAAAGAAATCATCAACAACTATATCTAATCAATCAAGTGAACAAACGAAAAATGATAGTGATGTTGAAGATGATGATGATGATAATCAAACAGATTTTCTTGGTTTAACTAAATCAAATCAAATTGAAATAACAAATACTGATGTTGAAAGTGTTTTACGTGAAACATTTCCAAAAGCTCGACCAACTGTTATTGAAGAACCATCATTACCAAATCCATCAGTCGACTTTGAAGATCTTGATCATAATGAAGAAATAAATAATCAACAAATCAATGATGATGAAGTAAATCATTTTAATAATAATTTTTATTTTAATATTTTCTTTCTTAAGCTTTTACATTATCTACCGAAAAGTGAACATTATAAAGAAATCAAACATATACATATTGATTCAATGATGGGTGAAAGTGCACGATTACAATTACTTAAAAATACAACTGACGAACGTGAAACTATGTTAGCACAAGCAGCAATTCATGTACCTAAAGGAGAAACGAGAAAGCGAGCGCAAATTACTTATCTTATTGCTAAAGTAAATAAAAATCTATTCAGTATTTATATATATATATTTTATATTTCTTTTGTATTCTAGGCTCAGCATGATGATCTTCAATTGAAAAATATGTGGAGCCAACAGAAATTAACGAAAAGACAAACTCAAGCTAAATATGGTTTTTGAAAGAACTTATTATGTTTGTTTATATTTTTCTTGTAAAATATACTTTTATGCGTATTACATCATCTATATCTATCACGATTAATATTCTTTAAAAAAAAATTGATTCAGTTGAAAATATTTAATTATTATCATACACGATGAACTCATTAAGGATTAGAAAAGTTGAAGAGTGAAATACCCCAACTGATTAATTGATTTTGAGACAAGATTATGTGCTTCATGTAGATTCTGATGAATCATGATGCCGAGATATCATTTATTAGCACAATGCCGTAGTTCTTCTCAGGAATATAAGGATAATTCACTTTTCTATTTCAAGTTGGAACTTTCCATAGAGAATGGGCTCAACAAGAACAGTTTATTATGAAAGTTTCAGAGATTTTTGCTGGTCCTATCTTAACGTACAGCTATGACGAAAGCTTACTTTTTACATTGCTCATATATACCGGCAGAGATGACGCTCGTATTTCAGGACAAGAGCAAAGTAAAAGATCAGAAATTTTTACAATAAACCATTCTATTTAAAAGCTGTTTCTGCGCAAAGTGTCGAGTCGAACTTCGAAAAGGTGTGGGTGTAAATGTGATAGATTTGGTTGCCTGTCTTTCGTAGACTCCCACGCAAAGAAAAAACAAGGTTTTGTGAACGTTCTTTCTTTCTCAAGTTTTCAGATAAGTAAATTAGAACGAAGAGAGCAACAGAAGTTAGCCGTCATTCTCCTAGTTTATGGCTATAAATGATAAGTTATATGCTAACTAAATGATAAAATCGATATGCTTCAATAGAAACATGTCGATGCGCATCAATAGGTTTTCCTTAATAATTCATTTTGTTCTCTCTACTTTTCATTTCATTTTCTATTTCAAATAGTGATGCAAAAGCCATTCTGTGCTGTGAACTGTAAATATCTCACAGAGAGAAACGCTATGCCAATAGTTATAGAAAAGATCATTCGTTCTTCATGAGATATCGATTTAGTCGATGATTGGCATTTGTAGCTTCGCACTGCATTTCGCAATCGAATGGAACTCAGATGCCATCTAGTTTCTTTTTTCTCGTTTTAAACACTGCCACTTTACTATCATTCTGTTTTTCAGTTTAATGGTACGAAAATTCTTCTTTCGAAAGTCGAAATAAAATGACGACAAATGTTGGCATGACTCTTTGAGCGCATATTTTTTTTCACACACATTGCGATACTTTTTTCAGGACCGTAACAACTTGATAAAGTGCAAAATATCTTTGAGTTTATCCTAGATTCAATAAATTTCGCTGTCTATGTTTATTATCGTAGAAAAACATCTCTTTCTACATTATTTTTGATTTATTCAATTCAATCAAATATTAACTTTTTTTGTTTGCTTGTATTGTTCTTCGGATTCCAGAATTCGGCGTGAAAAAAATATTTCTAAATTATCATTTAAATCTCGAGCAATTTCCTTGCCATTGTAATGAACTCGTTGTGTCCACAAGACATTATCTTTAGGTGCATCATTTATATGTACAAAAGCAACATATTCTTGTGGAAATCTATGTAATTCTACACTCATTTCGACATTCATGTATTTGTCTTGATATACAGGATTCTTTAAACGTTCATTAAGGTGTTGTTGTACAAGTGCAATTGTTGGATTTTGTTTATGCATAGATACAAGAGGACAATTGATATCAACATATTTATGAAGTGCACCATCAGGTAATAATTCTGTTGGTCTTGTAGCAAATAAATAAGGAACACCATAACCATATTCATCCATGGCTGGTACAAGAATGATCTCGTCTTCTTTAAGATCTGTTTCTGCATTATTAAATATAAAATTTGTGATTTGATGTTTTGACCACATTTGTTGAATTTGAGTCCAAATACCTTTTGCTGGTAAACGATATATATAAAATGCATCATGTAATCGATTGCCACTGAATTCAATGAGATCACCTGTATGCATTTGACGTTGTTTATCAATTGATAGAACATTGTTTAAATCCAATGATTCAATATCATCCTTATTGTTTAAAACATCATCTATTCCTTTTTCAGAATACCCTATCGATGATAAATGTGAGTTCAAACTTCAATATTAAAATTCTGTTTTTTTTTCGTACCTGTTGGATAACCTAAGATTTTATGAAACATTTCTAATCGTTCATGTCGATTTGCTGGAAGAATGTTTATTGCTTTTTGAAAACATTCTTTTAATTGATTAATTTCAAACCATGTTTCTGTAAGATTTTTTTCATTTTGTTGGTTGTTTTCAAGTAGAAAATTAACAATAGCTTGACTCGCAGCAATATCAACTTCAGTACAACACTGATCAGTATGAATATTCATTTCTTTTAATTGTTTATCACTAAATAAACTTCGACACAGTAAAGTACGAACCATTGATTTCCATGGAACATATATCAATGGAATATTAGCATTATGAAGTTGTTCTTCGACTTTCTTACGATGTTGTGCTATACAACAAAAATCATTATATTCATTCAAGAGTGACCATGCTTGTCCTAAATGATCAGAATTAAATATTCTATAGCGTGTTGTCATGGACTAAGAGTATTGCATAAATGTGATGCAACAAAAAAAAAAGAAAAAGAATACTTCTTTATCAACTTTAATGCAGTGCAAGATACAACATTTATATATAGTCGTTTGCGTTCGGCCTCCACACCTTGTTGTAACAAAATCTATACATTGTATTGTGATGATCTAGACAATGGCGAGTTACTAGAAACTCATTCGAACTTTATTAGAGAGAAATCCATGTCTTGTGGTGATAGAAACATTTTTTAATCTTTCACATGACTGTTCGTTCATCTTCATTGAGTTCCGCAAAGCAATGATTTGATCTCCATCTTTTACCCAAGATAATGAAAAATTTCGTTCGACAGAACAGAATCGATTTACGATGCAAGCATTCATTGTTTTTATGTCAATTCAAACTCTATTGCCAAAATTTGAGATCAATTCGCATCGCATTGATGTATCTATATTACTTGTTTTACTCTTATCAAAGGCAGCTATGAATAATCAATCAGTAGTCTTAGTGATGAATTTCGAAATAGCTATTTTACACTTTTAGCTTGATCAGCTGGTTGATGAATGTATATCTCGGGAACAAGTGTTTCATCATAAATTTCAAAACGATTGTTCACTTAGTTTTATGAGATATCAGTTTTTTCGATAACCGATATTTCTAACTTCGCATTCAAGTCAAACTCGAATGTCATAATAATTCTCATTCATGAGTGCCAAATATTCATTGAATTTTAACATCTATTTCAGTCACTAAATCGAACAAAATATACGAGAGTAATTATCTTTCCGAATAAAATCATAGTTTTTTCAAAGGGCTCTTTTATTACGCATAAAACAGCAATCATGTTGATCGTAATAAAAAAAGAACGAAGGAAGAAAAAAACCAGGCAGTTCATTGTTCTTTTAATATTACGAAAGAAATAATATCTGACGTTTCTAGAAATAACTTTTTTTTTTGTTTTCATACCATCGTACTTCTATTCTTATTGACGACGATAAAAAAAACACTGCACTCGCTTGTCAATTCAATCACCGGCAAAATATTTTGAGAAAAAAAAGAACTAATCAATATTTTCTTCGTCTGTATTCTGACATATCTATTTCATGATTTGTGATCATACAGTTAAGGATCGATTTAAATTTTGAAAAAGAAGAACATTGTCAAGGTAAGTCAAGTCTTATCTAGAATACAGTATTACAAACTAGATGGCGCTATTCATGATTAAATTTACCAACAAAGAGATCGTTGTTAAGCAACTTTGTATATTAATGGCAATATGATTGAAAAAAGAAATTGTTGCATCAACCCTGAACAAAAACACTTATTTTCAAGTATACACATAGGTTACTTCTCTTTTTTTTATTTTATTTTATTCTTCTATTATATGTTACGAAACAAGAAAAAAGCAGAAATCAAGTTTATCTATCATTCATTTTTTAGATTTATTTTTTTTCGAATGTATGAAATAAAACTTCGAAAATAATGTATAACGGACGATCACATACAACTAACCAGAATGGTACTGTTGGAAAGACAAAATCTACTGACAAATCTAAGGTAAACAAATCAAATATACCATATTGTAATAAAATAATTATCGATGATATTCTATATTCAAGACATTAGTTACACCACCTTATTCAAGCAGTGTCGCTAGGCCTTTAGCACCATGGCCTCGTGATCAAGGTGAAGTGTCGGAATTGTATAAAGTAAAATTCATCAAATAAGATGTAAAAGAAAAACAAACATATCAATTGTCTATGTTTAGGTTGTTCTCCATCATAATACACACCCTCCATTAGTTCAACCAGATTCGTGGACAGTAGCTGCACCATTTAAAGAACAAAAACATGTTCGTACAGCTGTCGAATCAATTGCCAATAATTTTAGTCCACAAGCACAACGTTTAGATATACGAAAATTACCACAAGCTAAACAAACCATACCATATCCAGGCGATGGTTATTATCGAGGAGGTAAAAATTTTTTATATTTACAAGAGATAAAATAAGTATACATTCATCTTGAACATTTCCTAGAGAAGGGTAAATTAGTTGTTGTTGTTTTGTTGTTTGTTAAAATATTGTACTTGAGAACATGTTATTTTTTTTACACTATTACTCACTTAACATAACTTTTTTTTCTTCGTGTTTTTTTTTGTTTTACTTTTACAGCTAGTGGTAAGTAGCTATTTCTTCTCGCTTCTTCTATTCATATAGCTAGTTTTTTTTCTGCTTAATATATGATATGATAAAATTAGTATGAAATTTATTGTTTTTTTTTTCTTTAATTAGTTGAAGACTTTTTAAAACGAACACGCGAGGAACCAGGAACACCACGTTGGATACAAAAAAAACAAAAACGTGCACAAGATTTTCGAAAAGAAAAGTAAGAAGAATTATTTCATCTTATTAATATAAAACTAATTGAAAATATTAAAAACAATAGTAACATATAGAATACATTCATAGGTGACGATACAATTTTTATAAGACCCATATCTGGGAAATTAAAAAAAAAATGAAAGCTCGAACTCATATTTTATAGTATATAACAATGCCGTAAATTATGTAAAACAAAAAAGTCCATTTGAAGAAATATACAAATGCATTTACGTTCATTTAAATGTGACCTTTGTAAGAAGAATTCCTGATGTGTTTTAGTAGAAACAACAAGAAAACTATTCATTAGCCTTGTAATTCTACCATCTATGAATCTATTTATGTTTAAAATGACTTGTCCTTGATATTATATTTACTTTGATTATAGAGCTGAAAAATGGGTAATGCCTCCATCACGTCCAATTTCACCAACAGAACAATTAAATATGCTTTCTTGGCTCGATACCGAAGAATTACATCATATTCCTGAACCAAAAAAAGAAGAAATCGAAGTAAATAAATACATTCTAGTATATATAGATTTTTTTATAAATTACATTTTTATCTAGCGATATTGGTATTATATTTCGAAAGGTGTTCAATCACGTATGATTGCACCTGAACCAGCTGATCAATATAATAAATTTTGTTTACATCTTTCATCTAAATTTACTCAACCATCATTAAAAATTTTACATGATGAATTAAAAAATGAAATTCATACAAATTATGATCTTGCTGTTCGAAAAGCCGTTGTTGATTATATTCTATTAGATCCACATGAACGAAAACGTGTTAAAATTCAAAATGTACCTAAAATATTTCGTTTACATACAATACGTGCACCAATAGCATGGCATGATACTATGGAAGAAACAAAAAAATATTTATTAATAACATTACATACAAATAATCCAATAATGACATTTTTACAAACACTTTGGGATGAAACATATGTACAACAACGATTAATTAGTTTTCAAGATCTTGTTCATGCATCATTACCAATGATACCACATGATTTTGAAAAATTTATTGAACAACGTGTTAATCAAATGAGACAAACTCTTATATCACAGTAAGTTTAGATTGATTTCAAATTTTAGATAAATATTTTTGTGAAACATGATTTAAAACAAGTATCAAAATATATCATTACAGACAATAATAGATCCTAGTCGAAGACCATCATATATGATGACAGATGCTTTAGCCACGTCTTCTCTTTCAGTCATAGACGTGATTGATATACAATCAAAGACCGTATATTATGTCTCTATATAAATAGAATACAATAATTTCTATATGATTAGCAATAGCAGCTATATTTTTAATCTTGCAAGCATTGTACTAATAGCTTTTTTGTTTTTTTTTTCGTTTAGATGGCTTAATAGTTGTAGTCGAATAGTTGCTGAAAATCGCCAATATTGGGAATCTATGGTTCCAATGGAAGATGATGATAGTACAGAATTAGTTGAATCATTTTTTAATACAGTTGCTGCTCGTATGGCTACACATATACGTCAATTAGTTAATTCTTCACTAGAAGATTTTGCAAAATTTTTTGAAGAATATACAGATGGTAATGATTTTAAAACAACAAATCCTGAATCAATATATAATGTTATGGATTTTACACGAAAACCAGTATTTATACAACGTTTACATGCTGATGGACCAAAAATTGCATTTGATCCAACAAATCAAGATATTCGTTCTATGCTTCAACGTTGTATAAAACATATTGTTAATGGTGCTGCTAATATACCACGTATTGAATCACATTTATTTGATTCAAAAACAAAATTACTTATACGTCATGTACGTATTGATGAAGAAATTGTTGAAAATATAACACAACGTGTACTATATGTATTAACAAAAAATATACCTGGACCACAATTATATTTACATGAATATGATCAATATCAAACATTATTAAATAATAAATCTGAATCTGATACAATTGAATTTCTTCGTCATACACATGCACTTGATGAATTTGAATTTGAAATAAAACAAAAAACAGAATTAGCTAATGAAATTATGCTTAAACGTATATGGGCACCATTAAATTTATTTAATTTAGATTGTCGTGATCTTAATGATCATTTAATAAAAATTGTACAAAAATTACGAAATAAATTAGTTCAACATTGTATTGATGATAATTCAAAATTAAATAAAGAAATTGTTCGAGAATATGATGAAATAGCTACAACTGTTAGTGTACCAGCTGATGAAACTGAAGAATTAGTTAAAACAACTGATTATCTTAATAAAGCATTAGAAACTACAATTTATAAATTAGCTCATAAAATTGGTGAAGCTAAAGATCGATTAATGTTTTTATTAGAATATGCACTTATGTCACGTAAATTTGAATGACTTTGTTTTTTTTTTAAATTAAACTTTATTTGTTGTCTTTCTTTTTTTTTCGTGTAGCGGAAGATTTAAAACTTAATGCACAAGTATTTCATTGGCCAGAAAATATAATGAATATTTTAGAACTTAATCAAGGTCGATTAGCAGCTTTACGGTAAAATAAAAGATTTTTTTTATCGGCTTCTTTTTTTGCATAGTATAAAAATTTTAGTGAACGAGCTGAAGAACGTTTACGTGATCATATTCTTAAATTTGAAAAGAAACTTGAAGATTTACAAAAAGATGTTGATCTATTTCGACGAAAAGAAGTAAATTTAAATTAAGAAAAAGTTATTTTTTTCTCAAAAATTTTTTTCTATTCAGGTTTTAAGTAATGAAGAAATGCGTTCAAATGTTGAGAAATTAGCTGATATTAATAAACTTGTTGAAGATTATAAACTTGAAGGTGAATTAATTAATCGTGATCAAACATTACTTGCTTGGGAAGTTACTTCATTTCCTAAATTACAAGAAATAGTTATTGCTAAAGATCCATATGAAAAATTATGGAATACAGCATGGCAATTTTATACATCTTATGAACAATGGATGAATGGATCATTTCGTGGTCTTAATGCTGAAGCTATCAATGATGAAGTATGTTAATACCAAACGAAAAATATGTTTTTTTTCTTTTATAAATATAAAAGTGTTTATTCATATACTCGATAATTGATCATGTTGCACGCTTTTTCGCACCGCCACTGGTCTAGCGAACATATTTCTATAAAATCTATTACAATTGAGATTACGTTGAATCAAAAATTTTCAGATCTAGACTCGAACTCAGTCAGCTTTAGGACAGTTACTGGTACCGGTTCCATTTCTTCATCTAGAGATATTCTCGGATTAATATTCTAAAATATGAAGTTTTCTTTTCTGCGTGACCTGGATCGAAAAGTTCTGTGAGACAGATTTGTTTTTTCCATAGATTAGATTTGGTCATTGATATTAAAAAATTATACTTTCGTGTAAAACCATGATCTCAAAGTTGTTCACATAAGAGTTCAAATTCATATCAACCATGTGTAAGACGGAAAACCAGTGGTGTAGCCAGGAAGGCTCAGCTCTCCTCCTCTGTGAACTTTTGAACCCCCTCCCGCTAGTAGAATTTTTGATACGTGTAGTTTATTCGTTAGGACGAGCTCAGCTCCCTCTCCTGGCCTTTGATCCCCCCTAATGGATAAAATACGTGTACCAAAAATTTCGGTAGGTGGGGCTCAGCTCCCCTTCCTCTCCTAGGCCAGAATCCTGGCTACGCCACTGCCGAAAGGGTTGAAATTTTGTACATAATCCTTAATATGTTTCTGCGTGATTATAGAAAACTTGCACTTAAATAGTAAATTTTTGGACAAACCGAAAAAAGAAATGTTTGTAGTGTTCCATTATGTATTGCGTTCTATCATTATGATAAATCACTCTTGCCAATCGCAACAGACAGCTTTTTTAATCAATCTCATTTCATATAAGACAAAATAAGTTTTAGTATTATAATAAAACTTTCCATAGTGGACGGCACCATATAATTCTATGATGGATAGTAATGAAAAGTTTCAACGTTGTCTAATATAGAAAATTTTATTTTGTTTTTGAAAATAGGTACAAAATATGTGGCGTACAGTTCATAAATTACAAAAATCATTAACTGATCAAGTTGGTCCTCGTCGTGTTGCTGATTTAATTAAAAATCGTATTGATAAATTTAAAGTTCATATACCATTATTACAAGTTATATGTAATCCTGGTTTAAAGGAACGTCATTGGGATCAGATGAGTCATTTAGTTGGTCTTGTATTACCACATGATGAAACAGCATCATTAAGTGATTTAATTGAACTTGGTTTAGCTAAATATGTTGATAAATTAGATGAAATTGGTGGTAGTGCATCAAAAGAATATTCACTTGAAAAAGCAATGTCTAAAATGAAAGAGGAATGGAATGAAATGTTATTTACATTTGTTAAATATCGTGATACATCAGCATATATATTATCAGCTGTTGATGATATACAATTAATGTTAGATGATCATATTATAAAAGCACAAACAATGTTAGGTAGTCCATTTATAAAACCATTAGAAGATGATATGCGTACATGGTGTGATCGACTTACTTTATTGCAAGATATAATTGATATATGGCTTAAAGTACAAGCAGCATGGCTTTATCTTGAACCAATATTTAGTTCAGATGATATTGTTAATCAAATGCCTGAAGAAGGACGAAAATTTAGTAAATATTTTCATTTTTGTTTAGATTTTCAAAAAAAAGAAAACAAAAACTTTATTTTTTAGGTACTGTTGATAATCATTGGAAAGAAATTATGATAAATGCTGTTAAAGATTCTCATGTACTTGTTGCAACAAATCAACCAGGAATGTTAGAAAAATTACGTGAAGGTTTTCGTTTACTTGAAGAAATTCAAAAAGGTCTTAATAATTATTTAGAAAAGAAAAGATTATTTTTTCCACGGTAAATCTTTGTTTTCTTTTTTTCGATTTTTTTGATCTTTTGAGTATGGGATTATTTCGAAAGAAAAATGAAAATTTTCAAAAGATGAAATCAATTTTTAATATCATGAAGGAAGTCTTTCAATTGATAAATCACTTTTGATTTGAAACTATGTACATTATATAGATTCATATGAATACCTTGAAAAGAGTTAGATGTCCTTAATGTGTTGCTTTGACGATAGTGCATTTTTACGGAATTTTTTAAAATGAATGTCGTGGTAACAAGAAAACTGAATATCTTGTCGACTATATCTATCCCACAGTACAACTATAGTAATAGTGTTGCATTCATATCATGCATATAAATTGGAAGAGCAAAAATTATCATAGAGTTCTTTCCAGAAACTATCTGAATTGCAAAAGCTAAAAATCGCCTGACTTTCTAAATCGCAATGAGATCGATCGAGCTCGAGTATTTTTTACAGATACTAGAGATTGTCTGAACTGCCTACTTTTTTTTTAAATCTCATCGCATTCAAATAAATAGATAAAAATACCGAGTGTACGTGTACAAAATTTTTAGTAAAATCTTTCAAAAAAAGAATAACAATACAATATTTTCCAAACTATAGAAAAATTTGCCATTCTTAACATTGTCATAAACTTGTTAAAAAAATTTTTAACTCAATCAAACGTACTATATCTGGAGAAACGGAGGCGATGGTTTTGCACTTATATTTTTTTTTATATATAATAGTTTCATGCATAAAATCTTCGGATGTGAATTCGAATCACCCGTACTCAATGGATAAATTTAATTTATTAATAGAAAAAAAAACTATTTATTTATTTATTTTTTTCTTTAAATAGATTCTTTTTTCTATCAAATGAAGAATTACTTGAAATATTATCTGAAACAAAAGATCCATTACGTGTTCAACCACATTTAAAAAAATGTTTCGAAGGTATTAATCGTTTAGAATTTAATGAACAACAAGAAATAACAGCAATGATATCTGTTGAAAAAGAAGTTGTACAATTTAAATCAACAATTAATCCAAGTAAAGCACGTGGTATGGTTGAAAAATGGTTAATACAAGTTGAAGATCAAATGCTTTTATCAATACGTATGATAATTAAAGAAGCATTAAATGCTTATGAAAGTCGTGATAGAAAACAATGGGTTTTAGAATGGCCAGGACAAATAGTTATATGTGCAGGTCAAGTTTATTGGACAAAAGAAGTTGAAGAATCAATATTAAATAATACATTAGAGGGATTTCTTTTAAAATCTAATGAACAAATTAAAGATACAGTTAATATAGTACGAGGAAAATTAGAAAGTGGACCAAGACGAACATTAGAAGCATTAATTGTTATTGATGTACATGCAAGAGATGTTGTTGCAAATTTAATACAAACACAAATTAGTAAAATAACTGAATTTATTTGGATATCACAATTAAGATATTATTGGAAAACGGAAGAAGAAAAACTTATGGTTAATATGATTAGTACGTATTTCTTTTTTTTTTGTTATCATTTTTATTATTTATTATAAAATTATTTTAGCAACTGAACTTGAATATGCATATGAATATTTGGGTAATACATCTCGTTTGGTTATAACACCATTAACAGATCGATGTTATAGGTAAAGAAATGATGATAAACTTTGTCTCTCTGAAGATATTTACTGAAGCCAAAACTATTTTGTTTTTCTTTTCTTATTAGAACATTAATGGGTGCATTAAAATTAAATTTGGGAGGTGCACCTGAAGGTCCTGCTGGTACAGGAAAAACAGAAACAACAAAAGATTTAGCTAAGGCTGTTGCAAAACAATGTATTGTATTCAATTGTTCAGATAGTTTGGATTATAAAGCAATGTCAAAATTCTTTAAAGGATTAGCTCAATCAGGTATGATATACAATCTGTTTTATACTGCAAAAATCTTTCATTTATTATAGATTTCATTAGAATATTGAAACAAAAAAAAAAGAAATAATACTTGAACTTCTATAGTTAATAGATTACGTAGTCGAGATGTGTGAGATCAAGAATTTTTTATTTCCAGTGTTGATCTGGAATTCTCTACTTAGAGAATATTATTTCAGAACTTACATCAAATTTTAAAAGAAGAAATTCTTGATAGGCGTGTTTTGATTGGTACAATGTGTAAGATAATTCGATCGTCACCATCGAGGATTTAACTAAAATTTTTAGTTTCGATGAGACAGCTTTTTCTTCTAGCAATTTCACTAGAACCTACTGAATAGTTTAGTTTTGAAACTTATCGTAATCATATCTAAAGAATAAAATGAAATGAGATTCTCTTGCTATCGACTAAAACTCGTCAGGTCGGTCCTGGGTCCAGATTCGAAAATTTTGGACTGAATAGGACTCTACTATAGATTTTATTGTTCGTCATGATTTGTATTTCACAACACAAAATGTCTAATTAAAAAAATGATTTGATCTATTTTTTTATTTTAGGTGCTTGGGCCTGTTTTGATGAGTAAGTTTTTTTTTGTATTATAAAATTTTATTATTTTTATTTTATTTAAATAATAGATTTAATCGTATTGAATTAGAAGTATTATCAGTCGTCGCTCAACAAATTCAATTAATTCAACGAGCTATAGCTGCTCATCAAAAACGATTTATTTTTGAAGATACTGAACTTGAACTTAATCCAACATGTTCTGTATTTATAACTATGGTATTTTTCTCTTTTTTTTTTATTTATTTATTTAAATAGAAAAAGAAAATCTTTTAATTTTGTATAGAATCCTGGTTATGCAGGTCGATCAGAATTACCTGATAATTTAAAAGTACTCTTTCGTACTGTAGCTATGATGGTGCCGGATTATGTAAGTCAAATATTAAATCAATAGAAATATTTGATAAAAATATATTCTTTTTTTCAAGGCAATGATTGGTGAAATTAGTTTATATTCAATGGGTTTTATTGATGCTCGTTCTTTATCTGGAAAAATTGTTGCAACATATAAATTATGTTCAGAACAATTATCATCTCAACATCATTATGATTATGGTATGCGTGCTGTTAAATCTGTCTTAACAGCATCAGGAAATTTAAAACAAAAATATCTCGATGAAGATGAATCAATCTTAGTTTTACGTGCTATTAAAGATGTTAATTTACCAAAATTTCTTGCTCAAGTAAAAAAAACACAGAATAAGAATTTTTTTTCTTCTTCTAAATCAATATTCTATTTTATTTAATAGGATGTTCCACTATTTGAAGGCATTATTAGTGATCTATTTCCTGGTGTTATTTTACCAACACCTGATTATGCAGTTTTTCTTGAAGCTATTCATAATAATGCTAAACATTTAAAATTACAACCCGTACAATTTTTTATTGATAAAATTATTCAAGTAAATCTTTTTCTTATTGCTATGAAACACAAAACAGAAATCTGTTGTTTTATTTTTGAAAGATTTATGAAATGATGTTAGTTCGTCATGGTTTTATGATTGTCGGACCATTTATGGGTGGAAAATCAGCAGCTTATAAAGTTTTAGCTGGTGCATTAGGAGATTTAGAAGCTGCTGGAATGATGGATGAACATAAAGTTGTTTATAAAGTTATTAATCCAAAATCAATTACTATCGGACAACTTTATGGAGAATTTGATAGTAAGATAAATTGACAAAAATAAGTATATGTAATAATATATTTTATTTTTCTTTTGCAGAGGTTTCACATGAATGGACTGATGGTAAATAATTGATATTGAAATATATTTGAATGTTTTGTTTTGATTTTTGAATAGGTGTTCTAGCTACAACATTTCGAGAATATGCCGCTAGTCAAACATTAGATAGAAAATGGATTATTTTTGATGGTAAAATAAATATTTAATAGAAAAGAATTATTTTAATAGATGATTTTTCTTTTAGGACCTGTTGATGCTGTTTGGATTGAAAATATGAATACAGTTCTTGATGATAATAAAAAGGTTAGTATAAAATTGAAATAGAAAAATTAGAAGTCTATGAAATTTTTTTAGATTTTAAAATTTTAAAGTTTTTACTATAAAAATTGATATAGTTTACGTAGGAACGTTTTCAACTGTCTAATTGCTTTTGAGTTCAGACTCTGTGCATAAAGTAGACCCCATTGCGATATGAAAAACTCCAAAAAGATAAGTGCCTTTAGGCCTTGTCTAGAGTTATAGGCATTTTACTGCAATTTTAGCTTATGGCATGATATATACCAAAAAAATCGAATGGCAGTATTTCGAGCTGAGATTTAACTCACGGACAGGCCTATTGCTGAACGAAATGTCCTGAAAGTTTCATTTCGAAAAAGTGTTTCCTTCCAGAGATATTAGAGTCTCAAAAAGCAGAATATTTTAGTGTCGTTCAAAGGATATGAGTGATTCTTGGGACTTCAATATTGCGGGAAGAAAACACTTTTTCGAAGTGAAATTTTCAGGACATTTTGCTCAGCAATAGGCCTGTCTGTGAGCTAAATACAGCCATTCGATTTTTTTAGTATATACCATACCATAAGCTAAAACTGCAGTAAAATGCCTATAACACTGGACAGAAGGCCTAAAGGCACTTATCCTTTTGAAGTTTTTCATCTCCCAACGGGGTCTACTTTATGCACAGAGTCTGAACTCAAAAGCAATTGGACAGTGGAAGACATTCCCTCGTTAGAGTTTTAAATGAACAAGTTTTTCAAGTGAAGCTCAAAAAGGATAGTTAAATTTAGTTTTGATTTTTGAGTATAAGATTTCCTTTCATGGATAGTTTTCTCGTTGATGATAAATTGTTGAATCTTTCTTTGTTTAGCTTTGTTTAATGAGTGGTGAAATCATTCAAATGAATGCACAAATGAATTTAATATTTGAACCTGAAGATCTTGAACAAGCATCACCAGCAACAGTATCACGTTGTGGTATGATTTATATGGATCCAAATCAACTTGGTTGGCGTGTATTTAAAGATTCATATATACAATATGAATTACCAACATCATTAACAAAAGAAGCACGTGAATTAATCAATGATTTATTTGAATGGATGGTTGATCCATGTCTTGATTTTCTTCGTTTTAATTGTAAATTTCAATTATCAACATCATCAATACATTTAACATTTAGTCTTATGCGTTTATATTCATCGTTAATGGATGAAATCGTTGGAGCTGGTACAACAGGACATGATGGAAAACTTTATCCTGAAATAAATGCTAATACAGTAAGTAAAGAAAAAAAAAAGAATAAATAAATAAATAAATAAATAAATAAACTTGCAGCCGAAATGGCTTCTTGAGTTATTACATCCACAAGAAATAGTTATTCGACCAGCAACTGTAAGATTAAAATAGTCAAATTGATAAAATGATTCCGCTCGCTGTTAAATCGATTTCTTCTTATTGCTATGTGATTTATATAAATGATTCTTATTCTTAGGCACAATTAAATACGCTTCAGGTTTGTAATTAGTATGCATGTTAGATGCTATATAATCTTAGTTGATATAATTATTATATCTGTTTTATTTTATTTTAATATTTTATATTGTATAAAATGAGAAAAAAAAATATATATATTTGAATTTTTGTTTCTAACAATTTAGATGTTACTTTGGTTACAAGGTTTATTTTTATTTGCACTTATATGGGGTTTAGCTGGTACCATAACGAGTGATAGTCGAAAAAAATTTGATACATTTTTGCGAGATTTTCTAACGGGTACTATGGAAGAATATCCAAAACCAAAATCAATTAAATTTTCAAAAGTAAAAAAACAAAAACAAAAATCTTCGAATAACAAAAAAAAAAGTTTTTTGGTGTTTTGTTTTTTTAGGCAAATATTTTTCCTGAACGAAATACATGTTTTGATTTTTATTTTGAAAAAAAAGCAGCTGGTCATTGGCGTGATTGGCCTGATATGATATCAAAAGAAGATTTAACTATTCCAGATGGTGTTAGAGTTGTTGATTTAATTATACAAACAGATGAAACAGCTCGACAAACATTCTTTTTAGATACATTTCTTTCACATAATATTCCACTTTTATTAGTTGGACCAACTGGTAAAAGACAAACTTTCGGCATAAAATTTTGTTTTAATAAACTTTTTAATATTAAGGTACTGGTAAATCAGCAATTAATAATTATTTTCTTGTTCGATTACCAAAAGAAAGGTATGTCTAACAAAAAAAAATTATCATTTTTATAGCTAGAAAGGATTTAATTCAATAGAAAGTATTTTATATCTTTTTTTTTTAATAAAAATGTTGCTACTTCTACAAATTTGTTCTAATTTGAGAATCGTATATAGTGACAAGGTCTCTTTTTTTTTGGACAATTGAACAGCAATTCTTGAAAAAGAACCGATTCATAGAACTGTGATAGGTCTAGATTTTAACTGATCAATGGAGAACTAATGACATTGTATAGACTAGTCTTATGAAGTTATTCAGCCAATGTTTTATCTCGATCTTTTTTTTTCGGAGCAGTGATTTAAAACTTCACGAGAGCCTATTCGATCTTCGAAGGAACGCTGTCAACTCGGACTCTGCGCTAGATAAAAGAATGCATTCTTTATATCGAAAAATGATTATCTTTAGGAACGAACTTTTAGTTTAGTTCAATATGCTAAGGTCTTGTAGTGATCAATTCAGGCAGTAGAAAGGAAATTATGAGAGCACTATATTATGACATTGTAATCATTAAGTCACATCAAACTCCTTCGAATTTTATTCAGTTACTACTACAACAGTCGCAAAAGACTTCGATCTCGATGGCCAATCAAGAGTTAATCAGTGTTCATGTAGATGTCCCTTATTCCAGAGTTCGATGTTATCTCTATCAAAAATAAAATGTTCACGCCGAACAGTTTTACTTTGTTCGATTTAGGAAGTAATCTTTCTGTAGTATCTACATAGGATTTGATGTAAGCCGTTGGAAAAAGATCAATAGTCTCTAATGATAACTGTAATCAATTTTATCCTGAAAATCTCACGATTTCAACCATGGACAACTAGAAGATCCATACTGAAGCCGTCTGAGATAATGAAGGTTTCTTCGCATCTCAGCGTTACAGCGGATTGAAGTATTCTACTTTTAAGAAAATATAGACATGTAAAGCTTTACTTGTGAATAAGAAAATTTATAATAACGCATGAAAAAAGTCTTGTTCGAAGTTCAGCGAAGAAAAAACGGCAGTCCCGTCTGAAATTCATTGCGTTCAGACCAATCTGGCTCGAATTAGTGCTTGCAATTAGGATTTGCCGAGCTCTGTCTGTAGTCAACATGCACAGCAAAAAAGTTAATTTAAAAGTGTTTCTATATCCTATCCTAATACGATCATATTATTCGAAGTAGGTCAGAATATGATTACCTGACAAATCTCCACACTCTGTCTCTCGATTTGCTTAGTATTAACATGTTATATGATATAACTTGTTATCTTCTAATTTAGATTTGTTGCTAATGTTGTTAATTTTTCTGCTCGAACATCATCAAATCAAACAATGGATACAATCATGAGTAAACTTGATCGGTAAATAATTTTCTTCAAACTATTTGCCAACAAATAAAATGAATATTTTTAGACGTCGTAAAGGTGTTTATGGTCCACCAATGGGTAAAAAATGTATTATTTTTGTTGATGATTTAAATATGCCAGCAAAAGAAAAATATGGTAGTCAACCGCCAGTTGAATTACTTCGTCAATGGCTTGATCAAGGTTATTGGTTTGATCGTAAAGATACATCAATGATAACACTACTTGATCTTGTAAATTTTTATCTCATTTTTAAATAAATTGTTATCTTCTCTTTTTTTTTAGCTCTTTCTTGGTGCAATGGGTCCACCAGGTGGTGGTCGTAATACAATAACTGGCCGATTTTCTCGTCATTGTAATATAGTATCAATCGATTCATTTAGTGATGAAACAATGCAAAAAATTTTTACATCAATAGTCGATTGGCATTTTGCACGTGGTTTTGAAGCATCATTTCAACGTGTTGGTCGTTTACTTGTTCAAGCTACAATGCAAATATATAAAAAAGCTTGTGAACAATTTTTACCAACACCACAAAAATCTCATTATTTATTTAATTTACGTGATTATTCACGTGTTGTTAGAGGTATATTACTTGTACCATCAAATAATTTAAAAGAAGAAAAAAAATTATATCGTTTGTGGATACATGAAATTTATCGTGTATTTTATGATCGACTTATTGATGATGATGATAGACAAACATTTTATTCAACAGTTAAAGAAGTTATGAATGAAACATTAAAACAAGATATAGGTAAATTACTTGAACATCTTATACCAGCAAATGCACCATCACCAAAACAACTTCGTGATGAACATGTATGTAGGATTATTTAAAAGATTGTCGTTTTTTTGTTTTTTGTAAAACATAATCTTAAAAGAATTTTGAAGTATATGAGAAAAATTATTCGCTAGCGACCTGATGGAGTACATCAATGGTCAATGGAAAGAGCCAATATTTTCAATTGTGACTTGCTGATATTGTGTCTTTCAGTAGACATCAGAGAGAGAGAGAGACTAATAGAAGGCCCTAAGGGTTTGTCTCCATTCGATCTCCTTCTCAAGTTTTTATAATTAGCAAGTTGTTTGTGAAAAGATTGAATTACAGAATTAAAATCTAAAGTTTTGCTCATCGGTAGGTATCGTGAATCTTTGAATATTCTGAAACTGTCAGCTTAAAGGAATGTGTTCTTCTTGATGACATTGAATATCTGAAAACAATCAGTCATCATAATAAAAAATATGAAAGCCCAGTGTTTTCAACATTCGAAATCTCAAAAACAACACATTCCTTTGGATTAGAATATTCAAGGCTCTTCAGAGATAAAAAGCGCAATAAAATTGTTATAATTTGGAGAAAACACCGCATGAGAACGAACCCTTACAGATCCCTACTAGTCTCATCGGAACTTATTTATAGGCAAAATGGCAGCTCACACTTGTGGACCTTTCCTTATAAAGAATCGAATTCAAATGACAGATTTGTTTCGCATGAAATGACTCATGTAGGATAGAAATTAGCATTTGCTTCCCATAGATTATGACAGACATTCCTAGAAACGTCGTTTTACTGCATCCCGATTGCATTTTTGGAATGATAGCGAAAAAATATGTTTCAAAATAAATAGAGTAGAATAATCTCATGTGATTAGCAAGATTAGCTGCACTATGTTTCACATTTTAATCGCGCAACTATTATGCTAATAGAATTTTTCGCCTAGTTCATATTCGTTTATTTATTTGTTTTATTTAGATTCGTGCATTAATGTTTGGAGATTTTATAAAACCTGATGCTGATGTAAAACCTTATGATGAAATAATTGATTTAAAACAATTACAAAAAGTAATGGAAACTTATTTAGAAGATTATAATGCTATAAGTAAAAGTCCAATGCAATTAGTTATGTTTCAATTTGCTATTGAACATATATCACGTGTATCACGTATACTTAAACAAGATCAAGGTCATGCTTTACTTGTTGGTATTGGTGGAAGTGGACGAGTATGTATTTTGAAATCTTCTTCATTTTTTTTTCTTTTGTGTTTTGTTGTATTGATTGATTGATTGATTTTCTTTTTCGTAGAGTTCATCATGTAAAATGGCAGCATTCATGGCAGATTATGAATTATTTCAAATTGAAATAACCAGAACTTATGGAAAAAATGAATGGAGAGATGATATTAGGAAATTATTTAGAAAGAGTGGAATTGAAGGTAAGTTAAAATGAAGATTTTTGTAAGAAAAAATTTTTGTTTAGAATATATTTTACTATATGATGATTCAAAAAAGAACCATTATTTGAAACAGATAAAGTTGAATTTAGAGTTTCCGATAGATTTTAGAAGCGGAAAAGGCTTAAAATTTGACAGACAGATGGATGCAATGCGAAAAGTATGTAACTGGTTCATACAACCCCTTTCATATTGAGATCTATGATTAAATTATTACAATCAAACTTATGAGAATTCTTTTATAGACACCTAAACACTAAGAAAAACTCAATTTTTGGTTAGAAGAAATAATTTTTGTGATAAATATATTGCGTACTGTAGGAATATATAAAAATAATTTTGATTCTCAAAATTAATTTTATGAATCATCTTTAAAACGCTTTGGACAAGTAATGATGTCTAGAGCAATGAGTAAATTTATTTTTTGTAGACGCAGAGGTGCGAAGTAAAAAAGCACTTGCCAAAGGTAACCAAATATTGTAAATCTCAGAGACACACTTTTGAGATCTACACTTCAAGCACATCTACACTCACAAACACATTCTATAAGGCAATGAATGAATCGAAAAAAAAAAAGTTAATTTGTTTTTCTTGTGTCTTTATTGTATTGTTAAACTGTATAACAAATATAAATACAACGGTATATGATGATGATTCTTGTACGAGAATAACATAAATAAGTTCTTCGCTTGACATGTAATCTGTTTATTTTTCATGTCTATATGAAGTAATAATAGGAAAACTATATAAAAATACTTCTTTTGCATTTTTTTTTTCAATATAATTCATTATGGAGAGCTGTGATGGTTTTGTTTTTCGATACATATATATGCATAGTCTTTTAAATGAGGCATATGAATTCTCTTATTAATCTTCAATGCTAAATAAATCCTGAGTTTTCCAGATTTTTGAAGTTTCCATGATCTGAAATATGAAATAAAAAAAGAAACTCTTACCCTTATCCGAACTGGTGAGAACTTTGTCTTCAATTGAAAACAAGCTGAACTCCACAGCTTGATTACTTGAAATTTTTTAAACGGTAAGGTATGGAGACGTAAAATTATGTTTATCAATGCACTTTCATAAGTCGAACACCTGTGTAATGTTTTGTTCGTATCTCACACATACCCTATCTAAATTGGATGTTTGAGAAAGCACTTCATTCAAACGCATGGATATTTGTTTGAAAAATGAGTTGTTGATGAATTTACGTCTTGTATACAACAATACTTTTGTTTTGTACACCAAATAATTTAACTATTTCATTTTCTTCTAGGCAAAAGTACCGTTTTTCTCTTCAATGATTCTCAAATTGTAAGATTTTATTTTTCTTTGTTGTAAACTCGTATTTTTTACTTTATTGTTTTTTTTTTTTTTCTTTTTAGAAAGATGAATCATTTATCGAAGATATTAATATGATGTTAAATACAGCTGATATTCCAAATCTATTTCCTGCTGATGAACGAGCTGAAATATGTGATAAAATGCAAACTATAGCTCGACAATTAAATCGTAAAATTGAATCAACACCAATGGCATTATATAATTTTTTTATTGAACGTGTTCGTTCAGCTCTTCATATTGTTCTTGCATTTTCACCTATTGGTGATGCTTTTCGTAATCGTCTTCGTATGTTTCCATCATTAATTAATTGTTGTACAATTGATTGGTTTACATCATGGCCTGAAGATGCACTTGAAATGGTAGCAAAAAAATTTTTAGAAGAAGTTGATTTAGAAGATGATATACGTGCAAATTGTGTTGTAAGATGAAAATATAATTCAATAAATAAAATTTTTTTTTTCTTTTTTCAAAGCTTATGTGTAAAACATTTCATGAAAATATTCGTGTATTATCTCAATTATTTCTTGAACAATTATCACGACATAATTATGTTACACCAACATCTTATCTTGAATTAATTTTAACATTTAAAGGTACAGAAAATAAATTTTCTTTATTAAATAATTATTTTTTTGTGTATGTTTTGAAATTAGATTTATTAAGAACTAAACGTAATGAAATTCAAACATTAAAAGATAATTATTTAAATGGTCTTAAACAACTTGATTATGCACGTGTGGCTATTGATGCTATGAAAAAAGAATTAACAGAATTACAACCAAAATTAAAAGAAACAGCTGTTGTTGTTGAAAATTTAATGGTAATAATTTTTTTTTTCTTAATCTAATGATATTATTTTTTTATTTATTTTCAATAGATTCGTATTGAACAAGAAACAGCTGAAGTTGAAGCACGTAAAGAAATTGTTGCTGCTGATGAAGCTGTTGCTAATGAAGCAGCAGCTAAAGCTCAATCAATTAAAGATGAATGTGAAAATGAACTTATGGAAGCTTTACCAGCTCTTAAAGAAGCTGAAGAAGCACTTAGTAAATTTTATTTCTAGATTTTTTTTTTCAAGTTATATAAATAGAAAAAAAAACCTATCTTTTGAAAAACTACTTCAAATAAAACATTATATATATAGATTTCTAAAAAGAATCCAATTTAAACTATTAGAAGAAAAAAAAACTTCGTAGATTATATAAATGATATAAAAAAAATTATTTCAATAGAGAAATAACAAAAAAATCTAAAACTTTCACAATAAACTATTCTGATTAAAATCTATTTATGTGCAAAATTCAAACAAAAAAAAAAATTTCTGGTATTCCTTCAGGGAGCCACAGCATTTATGGAAAAAATGTCATTCTGTAACAATTAAGGAAAGTTTCAAATATTACCCTAAGTATTCAGAGCCCATCTAAGTCTACATAGTGTTCATAGTCTCGATTCAAAAATGAATCATCAATTGAAGAACTTTCTTGATTAAATGTGATTACTATATCGCGTTCTGCATATGAACATTTCTTTTTTTTTCTCAAGCATAAAATTTATTTCTATGAATATCTTTAATAATTTTCTTTTTTTTTTTGTTTGTTATATAAAGATACTCTCAAACCCAATGAATTAGTTATTGTCAAAGCTATGAAAAATCCACCAAATGGTGTAAAACTTGTTATGGAAGCAGTATGTGTTATGCTTGAAAAAGCTCCTGAACGTAAAATTGATCCAGCAACACAAAAACCTATCTTAGATTATTGGCCAACATCAGTTCGACTTTTAGCTGATATGGATTTTCGTAAAGTTAGTTTCTTTTTCTTTTTTTTTGTTAATTTTCTTTATTATTTCTTTTCATTATTAAGAATTTACAAACTTATGAGAAAGATAATATAAAACCACAAGTAATAAAACAAATTCGTGATCGTTTTGCTCAAAATGCAGCATTTCAACCAATTGAAGTAGCAAAAGTATCAGCTGCTTGTGAAGGTTTATGTAAATGGGTATTAGCACTTGAAAAATATGATCGTGTTATAAAAGTTGTACAACCAAAACGTTTAAAATTAGAAGAAGCTGAAGGAGCTTTATCTGAACAAATGACTAAATTACAAGAAAAACAACGACAAGTACAAGAATTAGAAGCACGTTTAAAAGCTTTAACAGATGAATATGAAACAAATGTACAGAAAAAAAATGAATTAGAAGATCAAAGAAATTTATGTGAAAAAAAATTAACACGTGCTGTACAACTTATTGAAGGTCTTGGAGGTGAAAAAGATCGTTGGACAGATCAAGCAAGAAAATTAGGTGAACGTTATATACAATTAACTGGTGATATACTTTTAAGTGCTGGTGTTGTTGCTTATCTTGGACCATTTACTATAAATTATCGTACAGTTAGTCAAAATAAAAATTTTCATTTTTTTTTTGTTTTGTTTTCTTTGAGATAATCAATTTTTTTTTCTTCTCCTTCTTAGGATTGTATTCGTCAATGGATTGATTTATGTAGATCAAAACGTATTCCATGTTCAGATGTATTCTCATTAAATACAACACTTGGTGATGCAGTTAAAATTCGTGCATGGCAAATAGCTGGTTTACCTGTTGATTCATTTTCTGTTGATAATGGTATTATAGCAACAAATGCACGTCGTTGGCCACTTTGTATTGATCCTCAATCACAAGCTAATAAATGGATTAAAAATATGGAAAGAGATAATCGTTTAGGTGTTGTTAAATTACAAGATCCAACTTATACAAGAACATTAGAAAATGCTATTCAATTTGGTACTCCGGTTTTATTAGAAAATATTAATGAAGAATTAGATCCTATTTTGGATAATGTTTTACTCAAAGCAACATTCAAACAACAAGGAGTAGAAGTAAAGATAGTTTTATTTTGAATAGAATTTAAAGAATAAAAATTTTAGATTGTCTGTTGGTCGAAAAAGGGTCTTCTTTCCAGGTCCATGATCATTGTATTGTAATTTCGATTCATGACATGATGTTTATAGCCGCGCTTCGCGTGGGATGCCATGAGACCTAAAAACACCGTCCTATGAGATGAACTATCGCAAATCGCCCCATGTGGGATGTGATTGGCCCATCCCACAAGGAGCCCTGGTTTATAGAATGATACAATGAAAGAATTTTAACTTGAAAGTTTGCTAATAAAATAAATGCTAGAAGGTTCTACGAGTTTCCTTTCCTGTTATATTGAATGTTCAACGCACGATCGTATTTGACTAAGTTAATTTTTCTTTCAAGTCACACATCTCAAGAAGGAAGAATACGTTTCGATTGAAACTTGTAAAACATTTTAGCGGCTATGGGACTTATAAACAAACTTTCAAAAAAAAGATCGAATAAGAAGAGTCCTTTTAAGTTTCTTCGTGTATCATAAGATTCTTTTTATGTGACAAATATAAAAGTCGAACGGAGCGCATCACTTGAGAATATCCGTTTCTCTCCCTTCTGAAATAATGTAATCGTAGGATAACATAGATACAAGTTTCTAATTATTTTTAAATTTAATTATTTTAGTATATTAAATTCGGTGAAAATGTTATTGAATATTCACGTGATTTTCGTTTTTATATAACAACAAAATTACGTAATCCACATTATTTACCAGAAGCATCCGTTAAAGTAACATTAATTAATTTTATGATAACATCTGAAGGTTTACAAGATCAATTATTAAGTATTGTTGCTGCTAAAGAAAAACCTGAACTTGAAGAACAAAAAAATACATTAATTATTCAATCGGCTGAAAATAAACGTAAACAAAAAGAAATTGAAGATACAATTCTTGAAGTTTTATCATCATCAGCTGTAAATTTCTTTAGATTTATATTTATTTTAAATCTATATGATTTGTTTGTTTTGTTTTTTTCTTTTTATTTAGGGTAATTTACTTGAAAATGAAACAGCTATACAAATATTATCATCATCGAAAAAAATTTCGGAAGAAATTGAAGCAAAACAAAAAATAGCTGAAGAAACACAAAAAGAAATTGAATTTACTCGTCAAGGATATTTACCTGTTGCTAAACATTCAACAATTTTATTTTTCTGTATATCTGATTTAGCAAATATCGATCCGGTATGAAAAAAACAATAAACAAAAAAAAAAAATTTGTTTCTTTATGTTAAAATTTATTATTTAGATGTATCAATATTCACTTGTTTGGTTCATTAATTTATATGTAATGTCAATTGAAAATAGTGAAAAATCAACAGATTTACAAGAACGTATTCGAAAATTAAATGCTCATTTTACTGAATCAATTTATCGAAATGTTTGTCGATCATTATTAGAACGACATAAACTATTATTTTCATTTATACTTTGTGTACAATTAGGAAAAGGTCGTGGAGAAGTTGATGATAATATATGGCGTTTTCTATTAACTGGTGGTGTTGGTTTAGATAATCCATATCCAAATCCTGCTTCAGATTGGTTAAATGATAAATCATGGGCAGAAATTGTTCGAGCATCAGAATTACCAAATTTTCGAAATTTAATGGCACATGTCAAAGAAAATACAAATAAATGGAAAATACTTTATGATTCACCAACACCACATGAACAATCTTATCCAGATGATTATGAAAATCTTCGTTCATTAGAAAGGTGTGAAATACAATCTAACAACAGTAGTGAAGTTCTATAAGCTGTAATAGATATCTAAGTTTATTGAATGTTTTTGAGATTCGATCGAATCATATTTTGATAGTCTCAATAAAATTTTCTAATTGGCATTGAATAGTCATCCCAAATAGACAAAATACTTCTTTTCAGGTGTTAATATTCGATGACTAGTACATCCTACACATTTCAAAGACGACTAGAGCTTATCGAGATCAACCTGATGAATGCTAACCGTGATAAATGTTGATATACGATCACAAAATCGTATATTAATAACATTTCGTTATAATACATGAACTATTTCATTATTGTATTTCTGAAGGATTACATAAAAGAATGGTGAAGGTAGATGTCCCAAAAGAGATAGAATAAAATGATTGCCCTATAGATTAGTGACAGTAGGTACATTGTATTTCATATGTTAATCTCTCGAGAACTGTACTAATAGCTTTTTGTTTTGTCTAGATTGGTTGTTTTACGTTTATTTCGACCAGATAAAATGGTACCAGCTGTACAACAATATATTATAAAACAAATGGGACAACAATTTGTTGAACCACCTACATTTGATTTACCTGGATCATATGCTGATTCATCAGCAACTACTCCACTTATATTTGTTTTATCACCAGGTGCTGATCCAATGATGGCTTTACTTAAATTTGGTGAAACAATGGGTGTTTTTGATGAACGAATTAAAACAGTTTCACTTGGTCAAGGACAAGTATGTTGTTACAAAAAAAAACGAAAAAATATTTTTTTAATTTTATCTTAGGGTCCTTATGCTCAATCATTAATAACAGAAGGTGTACAAAAAGGTACTTGGGTTGTTTTACAAAATTGTCATTTAGCTGCAAGTTGGATGCCGAAATTAGAGAGAATATGTGAAGAACTTCTAGTACCAGGCAAAGTTCATAATGATTTTCGTCTTTGGTTAACATCTTATCCATCAGATCTATTTCCTGTCACCATATTACAAAATGGTATTAAAATGACCAATGAAAGTCCAAAAGGTTTACGAGCTAATTTACTTCGTTCATATTTAAATGATCCAATAAATGATCAAACATTTTTTAATGATTGTAATAAACCAGAAAGATGGAGAAAACTTTTATTTGGTCTTTGTTTTTTTCATGGTCTTGTACAAGAACGAAGACAATTTGGTCCATTAGGATGTAAGATTTTTATTTCAAAGAAAATCTATAATGATTTTGTTAAAATTTTTTTTTCATTCTAGGGAATATTCCATATTTTTTTGAGTAAGTAAAAAATAAAAATATATATATATATATATATATTTCTCCTATCATATTAAACTAAGTGTTGATAGACAATCTATAGACAATTTCTATAATAATTGATTTTATATCGATTTTAGTGAATCTGATCTTCGAATATCTTTACGACAACTTCAAATGTTTCTTAACGATTATGAGGATTTACCCTTGGAAGCGGTATGTTTCTTTATCTATTTATTCTAAATATGTACGTTTTTATTTTTCTATAATCTTTATTAGATATCATATTTATTTGGTGAATGTAATTATGGTGGTCGTGTTACAGATGATAAAGATCGTCGTTTACTTCTTTCATTATTATCTGTTTGTATCAATGCTGATGTAGTAAATACAGATAAATATCAGTAAGCAAAAAATTCATAATTATTTTTAAAAAAAAAACATTAGCGAGGGAGGATAAAAGATAATAATAAATGCAACAAAGAGAAGAAAAAAATAACTACGCAAACAAGAAAAAAAAAAAAACTTTGATTGAAATAAACAAGATGTGAAGGATCTGTTAATTGTCATTCTTGTTCATGCGTTCATATATTTCGGATGAAAATTCATTGAAATCAATTTTCTCGAGGACAATTGATTAATGAAAAAAATCAATTCCCAACCACACAAAATGACACATTTTAAATATGATCGATGATTTTGAAGATGTAATAAACAGACGACCTGTTTGCCGTTCTCATATACTTACACATAATTAATCATTTTTTCTTTTTTTTTTGCTCACTTAAATATATCTTCATACATTCATTTCTATCATTTTTCCTGATTTGAAACATACTATTTCAAACAACAAATATGATTCATCATACATTTATATTTATAACATTTCTATTAATTTTATTCACATTAACAATGGCTAATCGATGTCCATGTGAATTAGTTGTTAATGAAAATCCAACAATACCAAATGCAGATTCATCATCAACAAATTCGCTTATCGATGATGATAGTCAAGATGATTATCTTGAACAACTTGCTAATAATATACCATCAACAAATAAATATGAAGATATAGCACGTTTATATCCAATGATTGGTCACACAAAGAGTTTATCAATAACTCATAAACGTTTCAAACGTCCGAGTTGGGCTACTGTTGGAAAACGATCGATTTTAATTAAGAAACGCCCATCTTGGGCTCAAATTGGTTAAAGAGAAACGATTCTTTTTTTTGTCGATAATACATCAAATAAAGAAAATCTTTTCATTAACAAATAATAAAATAATAAAATTTAAATATAATAACAACAATATGCATTAACTCTCTGTATTTAGATTTTCCGAAAGTGGCACTTATTATATTCCACCAGATGGTTCACATCAAAATTATGTTGATTATGTTCGAACATTACCATTAAATCCATTACCAGAAGTATATGGTTTTCATTCCAATGCTGATATTACAAAAGATCAACAAGAAACACAAACAGTTCGTATTAAATTAATTTCAAAATTTAAACAAAATAAAACATTATATTATATGAACATTTTTCTTTTTAATCTCTTTAGCTTTTTGATAGTATTCTTCTAACACTACCAAAACAAACATCAGGGGGTGAAGGTCGAACACCATCAGCTGTGATTGATGAATTAGCAGCTGATATTCTTAGTAAATTACCAGCTGATTTTGATACAGAAGCTGTAAGTAAAAGAATTCTTTATCTTTTATTATTATTATTTGTTGTAATTTATAGATTGGTAAAAAATATCCTGTTCTGTATAATGAATCTATGAATACAGTATTAAGACAAGAAATTATTCGTTATAATCGTTTAACATTTGAAGTTCGAAAAACTTTAGTTGATTTACGTAAAGCAATTAAAGGTCTTGTATTAATGTCATCTGAACTTGAAGAAGTTTTTAATGCAATGTTTGTTGGTAAAGTTCCAAATGCATGGGCAGCTAAATCTTATCCATCATTAAAACCATTAGGAAGTTATTTAAATGATTTAATGGCTCGGTAAACAAAATTATTTTTTATCTTTTCGGTTTTGTTATTGAAATAATTTATAATTTAGATTAAAATTTTTACAAACATGGATTCAAAATGGACCACCGAATGTTTTTTGGATAAGTGGTTTCTTTTTTACGCAATCATTTTTAACCGGTAGGTGTTTGTTAAAAACAAAATATGCTTTAAGATTCAACAACAAAAAAAAAATTTTTTTCTGCTTTAGGTGTTCTTCAAAATTATGCTCGAAAATATACAATACCAATTGATAAACTTGCGTTTGAATTTGATATTTTACAAGAAGATAATGATATGGCTCATAAACCAGATGATGGTGCATATATAAAAGGTCTTTTTCTTGAAGGTGCTCGTTGGAATAAAACAACTCGTGTTCTTGATGAATCTTTACCAAAAGTTTTATTTGATGTTTTACCTATAATATGGTTACGACCGGGTATTACGGAAAATTTTGCAGTAGTTAACACATATTCATGTCCTGTTTATAAGGTATATGATATTGTTGTTTTCTATGATTTGTCTTATTAAAGTTTTTGTATTTTTTTATTTTTAAAGACAAGTGCTAGACGTGGTGTACTCAGTACAACAGGTCATTCAACAAACTTTGTGCTTTTAATAGAACTTCCATCAGATCGAACAAAAAGACATTGGATAAATCGTGGTGTTGCTGCACTTTGTCAACTTGATGATTAATCAGTAACGGTGATTTCTATTATTTTAATAATGCATGCTTCAATATTAAAGAACAAGAAGAAGAAGAAGATAAAAATGTTTTCGATTATTTTTTTTTTTTAAACTTAAAAAATTTCGTTTTCTTTTCCATTTGAAGTTCAGTTTTTTGTCTTCTCTTTTGTTTTTACGTTTTATTCTATACATATATATGCTTAAAAACAAAATGAAAATAATCGTGTTCACTAACTGAATCCATACAATCGTTCTTTGATCTGATCAAGCCAAGGTTTTAGTTTTTTCTTCTCAATCATCTTGTTAATAAGTATGTCTATATGCATAAAAGTAGAATTGGCAAACAAACTTTGTGTTTACCTTGAATGGATGGTAGTCTAAACATAAAACCTTTTCTTTCACAGTCTAATTCATTTACATTCTGCTTTTTTTTCTTATTTTTTTTAATTTCTTTTTTTTCAAATGATACTTCAATCGAAACGTCAATCTGACATTGAAAATGTTAGTTTTATGCGTATCAAATGAGCGAAACAGGATTAACACAAAGAGTGAATGGCAATTGTAGCAAGGTCGATCAAACCAATATAAAAAGAACCGTCTATAGAACCAAGAAAAAAGAAAAGAGAAAAGAAGGACGGACACAAACAGATGCATAACAAATAACAACAACAAGTTACTTTCGACATTATGAAATCAATCTTACCATATCATGCACGTGTAACTAAGTCGAAAGAAACATGAGAAATACCTCTTCCCCCTCATTTTACAATGGAATGATAGATAATTGACAAAGATATGCCATTTTCATGAATGATGGTTATACTATTCGATTTGTTTTTTTCGAAATGATAAAAACAAAAAGAAAAGATTTTTTTGCTTAGCCGAATAAAAAAACAAGTTACCTACCCATTTGTCGATGAAATCAATGATGTTATTCATTGATTTTTTTCATCCAACTACGTCATTTATTCAAGGTCTTAATCAGTATCAAAACTCAACGTCAAGTAAAAGAAAAAAATAATTACGATTCATTATTTATGTATATGTATATGTATATGAGAATAAAACTTGTTTATATCAAAAAACTAACTATGAGAGGACAAAACTTACACTAAAAAACACACGCACACACACATATATTGACTGTTCAAAGCATCACTGCACAAAAAAAAATCAAAGAAAAAGGAGAAATAAAAAAGCGGGAGAAAAGTTTTTTTTTTAATTGTATATATTTTGCTTTATTGGCGTTTACTCTTTCGTTTAAAAACGTCAGTTGATTTACCATATGTTGCGATAACTGTATCTTCAATTTCACATTCACCAAAACGAATATGAAAGTACCCATTTTCACCCCATCCATTACCCCATGAATTAGCTGCAATCCAATAACTTTCTTGTTGTTGTGTGCGTGGATCAATACTTGTACCCCAACCAAGTAAACGAATTGAATGATAAGCAGCCAAATTAGCATAACGTGGATTTTGACGATCATAACTTGAACCACCACAACGATAAACACCAGATTTATATAAGAAGAATTCTGGTGTAACACGCATTGTTGCTTGTACAGGTCCACGAAAATGTATTTCATATTTAATTGAAAGTGCTTCATCACGAACACGATAAGCAGGACCAAAATTAAAATGTTCACCATTAGCTCTTGATGGACATCGAATATTTGATAATTTACGATGTTGTGCAATACTTTGTAAATCACTATCACTTAAATGAAGTTTACATTCAGTTATATTACCTAATGTACCACTTTCATATGGATAACAATCTTCAGTAACAACACCGCGATCTTTAATAAAACCCCATGCATATGCAACACGACCACCTTCACAACCATCTTTAGCTTCTTTATCTGTACATGATAAAATATTTTGTACACTTAATGGTTCATTTCGTCGTTTGATATTTTGAACAAGTGAAAGACGATCAGAAGCAACATCAACAGTTGATAATGCCCATGATATACCACATTTACCTTGATCACGGATACCAAGTATTTTACCGGCATAATTTGGATGTGCACGTGCATCAAATGAATCAACTTCATCCATACGAAAATAATCATTTGGATCATCGGGTGCATTATCAACCATATTATGTAAACTACGATCAGGTATTGTACCAAGATAATGTTTTAATGCATCTTTTACTTTAACACCATTAAATTTATCATATGTTCCAGCTTTCCAACCAAGATATGGTTGTTGATTATTAATATGTGATAATAGATCAGGATTATTAACACAAAGATCTTCTTCACATGATAATGTTGTTTGATAACCAAGAGTTATACATCGACATAAATTACAGTCACGTAAAAATGATTGACCTAATTGATAGTGTCGACCAGTTGCTGAATCATAACATGAACGAATGTCTGGTGGAGGTGGTGCGGGTGTTGGTGGTGGTGGTGCAGGTTTACCCTCACATACAGCATCATGATCTGGACAACAATCATGATTATCAATGCCACGAAAACAAAATGAATCGCAATAGCAACGAGAATCATAATATGGCATAAAACAATCATCATCACGACTTACACAACATTGAGGATTTGGACGAGCACCACAATATGGTTTTATTTCTTCCCATTCAGCATAACGACAATCAATTAGATTTAATAATAATGATATAAGAATAGTTACGAGTAATAATCTCGTCATTATTGAACTAGAAATTAAAAGAAAATTGTTATATATAAATTTTTTTTTGCGGCAATTTAAGCATCAATAGAAAAATGACATTTGACAATATGTATATATATATCTGTCCGTCTGGTTATAATAAAAGTGAAAAAAGCATTGATAATCTTAATGCAATCTATCCTCAAACTGTCTATTTCGAAACGTGTGTGTCATATACGAATAACTGCGTTTCTTCACTTACGATTATTATTAGGATTACTTATACTGTCCAATGATGATGACGGTATAGATACAATAAATAAGATTCAAGAATACCAGGAAAGCAAAAGTAATATTCGTCACGAACGGTCCCGTGAGAGAGAAAAAAAGAAAACAACTAGACAATTTTATGTAAAATAGAAAGAGAGGGATACTAGAAGAAAACGAGAGAAGGGAAAAACGGAAAATATGAAAAAAAAAAAGAAATACCCCTAAGACACAGCGAGAAAAGAGAATACACAAAAAACCGCTGTTGTTCGTTTTTTTTTTTTCGCGAATGTGTGTGTGTACTGTCGATAAGAGTGTATGTATGTATGTATGTATGTATGTTTGGATAGTGTCTCTAACCACATAATAAGCTTCAGAAATCAATCTTATCAAAAAAAAAAAAAGAGAACAAAAAATATATACAATAGAACGATAACGACGAATTATTTTTGGCTATTTCGAAAAAAAGAGAAAGACAGGTGTCAAGAAGCTTGCCATTGCATAAAGTAAAAGGAAAAAATTACAGCTAGTTTGATAGTATCTATTGAATGGTGACAGGCACACGAAAAATTATCATTGCTACGCTTCATAGATGAACATCATTGAATATGTAAAAAAAAAAAAGCAAAAAAAAATAGAAAGATTCATCGTAATCATACAAATCTCTCAGCACATTAACTCATACACATATATACATATACCGAGATTTCTATCCTATATTCGATAATGATTCTTTTATTTTTTCTTTTTTTGCATTTTTATTTCTCTTTTTCATAAGCACTAATTAATTATCAACTCCAATCATCACTTTTGCTCACATTTTATACCGCATACATTCTTCTTCTCTCTCTCTTTCCCTTCACACTACTCACCTCTCTGCTGCTTCACCCTTGCTTACATGCCAGTAAACATTACTATGTTTCTTTTTTTTTCAATGAATAAGAGTAGAGAAAAAAAAAAGAAAGAATGAAAGAAACAAACAAAAATTTGTATTAATTCGTTACTATATAGAAGCAATATGAATATTAATATCATCTAAATAATTTATTTTCAGTTTAATAGTCATATGTCATGATATAGATATCAACATTAAATTCAACTTAAGAATACTTGTTCTTAGGTGATATTCTTAAGTTTTATTATTATTACAGTAGTGATAACAGATAAAAGAGATAGATTAATGTATGCTCTTCAACAAAAATACAGTATTTCATTATATTTATCAAAATATTTTTACTTAAAGATAACAAAATAACATTAATCTGGCTCATTTCTCTTTCATGTTTAGTTTTAAGTCAACTGACAAAGATGAATGTGCTGATGATTTTTATCCTTTCCTTGAAATATGAGCTTAACAACAAGATAAGTATCATGTAATAGATTTTTCTATATTCTTCGATTTAGTTGACATGATATGTAAACGCCTGCTGCCATACCATCACCAGTCAAAATCGACAAGGCCAAGTTTGTCATATATGACAAACGTCACATAACTTAGATTTCAATCTATAAGTTTGTCATTTTAGTTAGGTGAATAAGAATAGTTAGTAAGATTGATAGGAGTAATTGCTGTATACACTTACGTGTCATCCATAGTTTGTTTTTGGCAGAAAAATATTCTTTTTTTTTTTTATTCATATAACATCATATATAGAAGAATAACTGACTATTGGACGGATGTCGACAAAAAAAAAGTAAATAATATCTAAAATGTCGTTAGATTATTCTGACACAAATTTAGTGTAAATAAAGATCAGATGTGTTCTGTCTATCAATGAAATGTTGTCTAAATCTTCGAGCAAAATGCTTTAACTATATCAAGAATCGTAAGCACAACATTCCTGTCATACTAACCATGAGTAATGAATAAGTGCCTAAATCTCTTCTTTTTCTATTTCTATGAAACGATAGGAAGAAAAAGAACTTAATTAATGAATGTTATATTTTTTCTAGACATAAATACTCATGATTGATCCAGTTCGCATGTGTACAATCTTTTATATATTTCTTTTGCATAGTATCGATTAAATGCTTAACCTTCATACATTCAATACCTTCTAGTCTATGATATCCAATTCTAGCATTATTTCTTCTTTTTTTTTTTTCATTCATCGATCAATAATTTAGATGTCGACAATTTTGACATGCTGATATTTGTATGGCAGAAGTATCAAGGTTATCAATACAGTAAAAAAAAATGAAGGTGACAATGATTTAATGAAAATATTCACATAAATATAATTAGACGAGATAATATCAGAATTGAAAGATCAGACAGAAAGATTAGATGTTTGCTTAAGTGAAAATGAAGGTGACAGACAAGTGAGATACTTAATGGGATACCACACTCTCTTATCAGAAGAACAATTATTCATTCATATTATCATTTAATATCAACAAATGTGTGATATTTCTTGTAAAAAAAAAAGGAGTGTAAGATTGTCTTTTCAATATTCAGTTTGCATAATAATTAACTATTAGTATAATCAATATTACTGTAGACATATAGAATTATTGAAATTTAAGAATATCTATTTCAAACATGATACATGTGAATATGTAATGTTAGTGTAAATATTGAACAATGAATCACAGATACAGGGTTCACTGGAACAGTGATTACACTTTTAGTAGCGATGTGTTCTAATGCTTCAGTGAATATTGATATTAGAGTTTCAGCATGCATTAACTACACTGAATCAGTGATCAGTAAACTGAAACTATATATTCCTAGTGATAAGTTTATATAATAATAAATATATGAAAAGATTTATTCAAAAACCAATAACAATAACAAAAGCTCTGTTATCAATAGTGTCATTGTCAGAAAATGTTAATTTGTTTGCGTTCGTGTCATTTAAATAAAATTGTAAATATCATCTTATTTATTATAGTTAATTCTAATTCTTTTATGAAGATAATTATATAATTATTTTTCATATGAATTGTCAAACAAACAAAATCTATTCAATTGTAAATAGTATATACATGAATTGGTTTTTTATTTTCAATCAATAATGAATTAAAATTATTTGACAGATATTTAGCTATATGATGCTTAATTAATATTGATTTAATAATATAATTTATCATCATAGAGTCAATAGATTTTCTTAATAAATGCATATTATTGATATAAGAACATATTAAAGTAACAGATCGTTTATCTCTTTATACAAACAATTAATATATTTTTTTAATAAAAATTAATAAAATTTTTCAAGAAAATTATCGTTAGAAAAACCTTCGATAAAAATTTGTATGACTTTAAAATATGTATTATTGAGAAAGTAATTTATATAAGCTAATGTGACTATTATTCATCTTATTAGTAATACAATGATCAAAACTTGAATTGCTAATCATATGTTCGTGTAGTAATTCATTAAGTGACTGAGACTAAGAAAATTGACTTAATCTATAAAAAGATAATAATACTTATTTTATGTACTAACTGTAATATGTAGAACTTTCATATTGCTATCATTCAATGAATCAATCTTGTATTCTATAAAAATGATTTATTATTTTCTGCATTTCCTTCCGCTAATAAATCATTTGTTTGTATAACTTATTTGCTTTTATACTTCTATTATAGAAGATTTTTGAGAATATATATATATAATCGATATTAAATGTACTTATGAAGAAACAATTTAAAGTTAGTGAAATCTGTTTTAAAGGTCTGTTTGGTTTCATTTGCAGATTTCGAAATATTTTTCACCTAAGTTTTATGTTCAAACAACTGTTTGTATATCTATTTCTAGTTTGTATTTCATCAATGATGCTTTAGATAAGATAATTTATTCAACACCATGTCATTCCCATAAATTGCCATTGACATAGTTTCACATAGAAGTCTAAAACAAACTATAAATATCTATAACGTTTCCATTGACAAATAATCTATTAGTACTTAGTTCTACATAACAAAGCTATCATAGCAAATGACTAATCAATAAAAACAAAAACAACGTTATTAATATCTTTATCTTAGTATGAAAAATATACTTTTGTGCAAAAACGACATGAAAAAAATAACGTATAGATAATGATAAAATGTAAATACTTTCATCAGATTAGATTTAATAAATAGTTCTCTGAATTATTTTTAACTATTATACGCATATTAAGAATACACAAAAAAGGACAAAATTATCATTGCCTTTGTTTGTACATGTTAGTATATTCATCATAAGATAATGAAGTTGATGCGATTGATCTTCTTGATTTAATACGTTCGAAAAGAACTTTTGAAGAAAGTAAATATATACATATAGGAAACAAAACTAGAAGCCTCAAACAAGAAAAAACAAGAAAGAAGCAGAGTCAATAACTGTTGACATGAGCCCTCTTGAGAAATTTGATTTGTTCTATGTCAAACTATCATAGAAGATGTGATAAAGTACATTCTGGCAGAACTATTTATCTAGCACTTATTTATGCTTACCAGTATTACTAGCTGAAAGCCTCTGTCAACATTAATTAATCTTATCGTCGACCAAGTTATTTTGATATGGGTCGGTAGTACTTTTTAAGAGTTTCAAAATAAGTTAAAAATACCTGAGAAAACATAGTAGCTACCCAAAGAAATCTTAAGAACCAAGCTCTCGAGATAAGATTTTTTAAACCTTTTTCTCATTAGTATTCAGTAGATCTTCATGAAAAAAAAATGAGGTTTGGATGAAAAAATATTTTGATATTCTGAGTTACTATCTTAAACTGAGTGAACGAACACCTATTTCAAATATTTTTTCTTTTTTCAACACATGCACTTAATGAAATTCATAGTTTGACCCAACCATGAAGATACTAACTCAAAATAGCCTATTATTTTTTCACCCAAATCCTAACTTTCTTATCGACACCTCTTGAATACTAGTAAAAAAAAGGAAGACTGAAAATGTTGTCTCGAGAACAGTATCCTTGGGACTTCTTTGACTATCTAGCGTGTTTCCTTGATTTTTTTATACCATCTTGAAGCTCTCGAAAATTACTATGGAACCATATGAAAACAGCCTGTTTACTCAAGCGATGAGTAAATAAAAAGAGCTGATTATCATCAAAAGTATGTTTCAATGTATGTGTGGCGGCTATGGCTTACTTCAATCACTTATAGGTGCTATATAGTTAATTTAATCATGGCTCAGTTTCAGACATCTTGCATGACAGTTTGACATCGAGCAAATCGAATTTCTCCAGGGGGTCAATTTCAACAGCTATCAACTCCCTTCTGTTCCATAATAAAGTTGATAAGAATAACAGAAAAACAGTACTTCAAGGCTTCATTTAGACTTAGAATATGTAAACAACAATAAGACAAGCAACTTTTTAAAATAAAGTACTTTTTTCATTCAAAATCGCAAGTACAATTGGCTCTATCTATTGGAATTTTATTCTGATTTTCGATGGGTATCTTCCAAAACACCAATCATCATTTTTTTTTGATTAAACATTGCATATAGCGCTCGAATATCCTAATCCTTATTTTACTATATTCATATAACAATGAAAGGTATTCCTCAAACACCCATTCAACTTTATAAATATTTACTACGTCAAATACCAAAATTACCTATTGAAAGTCAATCATATTATCGAAATTATGTTAAAGGTGTATGTATTTTAATGAATATTTATTTATTTAATTCATATGAATTTTCTAGAATTTTCGTGCACATTCTGATGAAATCGATCCTGGTCGTATCGATGAAATAATTAAAAAACTTTATAATGACTTTCAATGGATTCTTAAAAAAGTAAACAAATTTCTATTATAATACTTTTCGTTAGTTTTGTTTTTTTAATTCTTTTTTTTTATCTTTAATTTCAGTATGAAAACAAAACGGGAAAGTAACATTTCAATATCGTCTATTCTATATATTGTCATTTTCTTTTACGTATTTTGTAACGCACGAACTGTTTGTAAGAACAATAAGGAAAAAAAACACCCTATACACAAAAAAAGAAAAGAAAAAACAAATCTACAAAATATCGATGTACATTTGTGAGATGATAAAATTGACTAATATTAGTATAGAAATTAATATAACACACACAATAAAAGTATTATAAATAATATTAATCCCGATAAAAGAAAAAAAAACAACAAACAAACAAGCAAACAAGTAAATTAATTAAATATGATCTAAAGCTGGTAAATAACATGCTGGACGTTGTAAAGATGATGATCGTAAAGAACGTTCAGATGTTGTTTCTAAACTATCATCTCGTTCAATAGATGTTGTACGACACAGTAATGGTCGTTTTGAAGTTGATAATGAAGGTCGAGAATATATTGTTGTATTATTCGTTGTTGAAGCAGGACGATAATCAATTATATTGTACTAAAAAACACAATAAAAGATTATTTACTAAATATCAAATTTCTTGTTTAATAATGTAGAATAGATATCAGCTTCAATTCTTAGGCTTATTTGTTTTTTCAAAGAAATGCATCATCGAATTTTCTATGAAAACTTATTTCGTTAGGAAATTTAAGAGAATACTGTACATGTAGAAACAGATCAAATTTCTAACCTATTTTATCTATCAACCTTTAGAATATTTTAAACAAGTCTATAGACAATGAAACAAAAGTAAACGTGCTTTTGAGTATATTGAAATGTAATCATTTTCGTCATGTAGTGCAAAGTTCGTTTGAAAGTGATTCAAATCTATCATTTTCTTATTTGTTTCGTATCCTGATCTTGATGCCTAAATAACTTCACATCGAACTAAAACTAACCAAACTCACAAGATGCTATTTTGTTTTAATCATTCGACACTGTTCAAAAGCTTCGAAACTATAGATTGAAACAGCTGGATTCTTTTTCAAGAACTATAATATGTATATAGTCTTTCTTCTCTTAATCAATTACAAGAGAGCCTCTTTGCCTATCCCCTTCCGATTGCAATGCTTTTTTTTGCCTTTAGATAGTACATCATATTTTAATAAAAATCCTGGAAGTATTTGAGTTCCTATTGAGATTTGATTAAACTATCAAAATTCGATCTGAAACTTTGCGCATTTAGAGATCTTAGTTAGACTAGTTTCCATTAAAAAAAAACTCGAAAGCTGTAAACAAAGTCTCTCTGAAATATTAAGCTTTCAAAAAAATACATATTGTATATACTATTCATGGAAAAGTCTATATCTTGAAAGTGAAAGCTAGTCTAGTTAAGTTGTCTATATGCACAAAATTTCAATTCAAAATCCGATAGCTTAGTCAAATATCAATAGGAATTCACATCCTTTTACAGTTTTTTTTTATTAGAGCACTGTGTATTATATGTAGTACAAAGAATCATTAAAATTGGAAGAGAGCAGCTATAAAAGTTTCTTTATTAGCACAATATATGCGTTTGGATAGAACAATTTTTCAACTTAGAAAGTTGCTTCATTTAATTTTTTTTCGGATCTTTCCATAGAAATAATTCTAAGAGTTGCAATGAAAAAAAAAAGCTTATTGTTGAAATTCTCTGAGAAGTTAATTATTTATGAGTTGTTTGATACTTGATACAATGACTACAAATTTCTGTTGAATGAACTCGAAACTAGGAGATTGGTCGCTATGAATTACCTTTGACTGACAAACAAAAACAGTAGTACATAAACGATTAATAGCATTCATTAAATCTCTTGTTTCACATATAACAGCATCAACCTAAATGAATAATTGTATGTAAAAGTGTATTACATTTAAATAATCATTTACTTTTGAAAATGTTGAAGCTTTTCCTAAAGCTGGACTTTTTAATTTTAATTTTAATTGATGACACATCAATGGTATTTGTTCTAATTGTATTTGAATTTCTTGTCGTAAAGTTTTATTTGGTATCTGAAATTAATTTCAATATTATATATTTATTAAATGTTCATTTTTTTTGTTGTTGTTTACTTGATTGGTAAATTCTCGAACGATAACTGATAAACGAGTGCCTTCTTCAATAAAATAATAAGCTTGTGTAAATAAATCTTGAGTTGTACGTAATGTTCCTTCGCCTCGTGTAAATAAATACATTGAAAATGCCATTGATGACATATTTTTTGCACGCTAATTATATTAAAAAAAAAGAAAAGAAAAGGTAAATAAATTATTTTTTTCTATAAATAATTAACAAACTTTAGCTATTTCATTTTGTGGTTCATCCCATTTTTCAGCTTCAGCATCCATTTCTGATGTAACTAATTTCATTTCAAGTCCAACTTTAGCTATTTTAGCTTGTTCCTCAGTATCAAGTTTTGTTGGTTTAAAACCAACTAAAGATAAATTTTTGTAAATATTAAAAGAAAAAAAATACATATAAAAAAAAAAGATAATACCTTTTGAAGTTGTTCCATGTTTTCCAGGTCTTGGCAATGATAAATAAACAGTTTTTTCTCGACGACCTTCAATAACATCTTGAATTTCTTTAACAAGAATTGAAAAATCATTGATTTGTTGTTCCCAAAAACGACATAGTACATCTAAATTTTCTTTCGCTACTCGACTATTTGGATGTGCTGCAAGTGATTCTGATGATGATATTATCTAAAATGAATATCGATTTTTAGTTTTAAAATAATAGAAGTACTTTGAAGATCATCTTTTATTGTCTTTAAGTTAATATAGAATACTATTTAAGAGTAGAGATATGCCAGACCAACTGTTAGTTTTCATCGTGGAATCATAAGAAAGAAACAATAGTAGGACTGAGACCGCTAGAAAAGAAATTAGCGGAAATAGGACCAAATAAACTTGACCTTGTACATCTTTATTCAAGAGTGTAACTGAAGACAACATCTTAAGCGTCCTTCTTAAGAAAAAATTCAATAAGTGAAAGGTAGTAAAATTCAAATTCTTTTTCTAAAACGAAAGTATTGTTTCGGGCAACTTTCTTTCCTATTGAAAATTCCTGGATACACACTTGATAGTATTAAATCCGTACTCGTAATGAATGACCTTGGATCTTCTATTATAGCTAGTACTCTGTATGATTAATCTTGAATCTAAAAATATCAGAATAAATGTTCACTATTCGATAATTAATGTAAACCTTTTATATAAAGTTCCCATTTTTCGAGAAATCAAGCAATTACGAGATGCCTTTTATGGCCAAGAGATGTTTACTTGCTTCTATTATATTAATATCAACGAACACTTACTACAGCTGTTAGAAAAATAGATTGAAGCAAAAGAGGCTCTAAAGTCAAGGTAGAAGAAGAAAAAGTAAACTTAAATATAATCTATGGATTTAAAAGACCTTGACTTTTCTTCTTTTTTTTTTATCTAGTAATCAATTTTGATCTTCAACATACCATATTAGATAAATTCTGGAAAACCATATCATGATATTCACTTGATACTTGTAATTGATCACATGAACTAATATGTCTTAGAAGTTTGCTTAACTAAAAATAAAATTCATATGAAAAATTTTTTTTTATATTTTATTAGATAAAACCTCAATAGCAATATCTGCTTGTTCACGAAATCGATCAATAGATTCTTGTAATAAATCTACTCGATTTGTTAACGAATATGTTTTTAATTCATTAAGTAAAACACTTTCATCATGTGTTCGAAAAAATTCTGATGCACGAAATATTGCCATTTGTTCAAGCTTGAAAATTATACAAATAGAAAAACAAAAACAAAAACTAAATATCTACTTGTTGTCGAAATTCCCGTGCAACTTGTTGAATTGTTTGAATAGCTGATATAACTGCATCATTTTGTTTCTAGAAAAAAATTAATTAGCAATATAATAATAATATTTATCATTAGTTTAAAAAGAAAAAAACTAAACAAACATCTGATATAAGTTTAATAATTGCTGCAAGTTGATCATGTAATTTTTTATGATAATCAAGAACTTTTTCACGTTGTTCAATACTTATATAAATTGAATCAGTAAAATCTTGAGTATTATCAATTGTTATATTACATAATTGTTCAAGTTGTTCTTTTGTTGTTGATGTTGATGAAACATTTAACATTTCAATAGCATACTAAAAAGAAAACTAATATCAAATTTGATAAATATTAAAAAAAAAAATTTTACTTCAAATTGTCTTAATGATTTAATAAAATTAATTTCATTTTTAGCAAGAAGAAGTGTGAGTGTTGAAGTATTATGTAATGTTGTTGAACCTGAATCATAAATAATTAATTGTACCATATCAAGAGCACGACGAACTTGACCATAAACAAGATCACGACATTTACGAGCATGTAAACATTCATTATGACGAAGATATGTCTTCAAAAAAAACAAATATATCATTAAAAATTCAAAAACAAAAACAAAAAAATAATCTCACTTTCGATGATGTTAATATTAACATTGTAGATTTTTCTAAAATAGTTCGTGATGCTGAAAGTTGAGAACGTCGACGTTCATCTTTTAGATCCTATATATATATGTACATAAATAAAAATTTTAAATTGTTTTTCTTTCATATGATTTTGTGTTTGTTTTTTTTTATTTACATTTTGTCGATCGCCAGTGAGATGTGCTAAATCAATCATTTGTGTACCATATACTCCAAATAATTTAATAAATTCAGAAAAAGATGTAACACCTTCGAGACGATTTAATGTTGACATAACCTTTTAATATGAATGGAAAAATAACGTTTTTTTCTAACGAAAAAAAAAAAACAGGTTCTGACTTTTTTCTTAACAGAAATAATTTGTTTAACAATAACTATGTCGGCAAGAAGTAGAACACGTGTTACGGCAGTTAATAAACCTCGAGCTGCTTGTACCATACTTTGTCGATCAGTTACACAAATTGGTTTACCTAATGCATCATTTTCTACACAAGTTATTCGTTTGATTCCTTCACCTATTAAAGGGCAACGAAAAATGA